TCGAAATGCCGGCTTACTTTATGAAATGAAGTAGGCCTACTATAGACAATTTAGATTGGTAATTTATAATAAAAATTACCAAAATATGCCACGAACTATTGATGCATAAACAACGTAAAGCGTTTAAACAATTCATGATGGTTTACTGAGTTTTACTAAAATGCGTAAAGAAGTAGCCTATCGTTTTCTTAGCATAAACTAACATTTTGGAATCCAGATAGAAAAAGCAAAACTTATACAGTTAAATTGAATACGCATGTAATAAATAAGGTGCAACACCAACGATAGCTAATTTGTAAATTACAATGATGTTGTAGTACGTTCTAAGGGAAATCAGTACCAAAAACCAACGTTTACAGTTAAGAACTGTAGTACATCCGACCAACTGTATGCGTTAATCAAGTCCCGAGGATATTGATCTCTTGGTTTTGGATTTTCTCGTAAAAGGTTATTGGCAGTCAAAGTTATTTACCATTAATTGCTTCTTTTATAAACAACTTTTAATGTAAACTTATCGGTGTCAGTTTGAAAAAAAAAACCTTATACAAACAACTGTTTTGTTATTTAACAGATTACGTATTCTCTAAACAATGATTGGTATAGGCTATCCATTAACATTAGAAGGGAATGTGATAAAAATCACACAACGTTGGGTTTTTGGACGTTTGTAATTTTATTTCTTAAGTAAGTAGGCCGTGTATCTTAGGAAAAAGTACCGGCATCAAGGATCGTCGTCAAAAAGGTTGTTATGAATAATTGGCTAGGCGTACGTACCCAAGAGATGGACTATTTGCCTATTGGCTGTATGGTCCAGCGATTGCATCACACGTTGAGTAGGAACTATTGACTATATATATAGTCAATGGTAGGAAAAGAAAGAGACACATTGGAAAATCGAGTTTCGCATCATCCGTAAACCTCTGTTACAATCACCTACTGCAGTTGTGATTTTTTTACTTTACACTTTACACAACCGCCATTGAAGCGCCGTCACTGAGTGGAAATCTTGTTTCTAAGCTATTGGCGACGATCGTTATTAAATTTAAGTTTCCCACCCGTATACAACACTGATTCAAGGTCTTCTTTCTTGTTATCAAAACTCAAGAACAATTTCATACACTAAAGAATTTCTGGTTCCTGAACTGGATGATACCTAGTTATTAATTTCATTTACGGTTACACTATTACACTATATTATTGAACTTACGATTAATTTAATCCGTTATGTAAGAAAAACGTTTTTAATCTCACTTCGTTGAGATTCGCTTTCAAAATGTGATCGAAAATGGTTGCGGTATTTGTAAACAACATTTGTAAACATATCAGTGACAGCTAGAAAAAATAATCTTGATCCGAACAGCTGTTCGTTATTTCATAGATGATTATGTGATAAAAATTGGACGAAAACTTTAAAAAATCGCACAAAACTGCATTTTTGAACGTCCGTAATTTTATTTACAAAGTAGTGAGACCATATTTTAATGGCTAAAGACACTCTCACCAATCCAGTAAATACATTAAAACGACTTGGATCTTGATAGGTACTCTCGTTTTCCTGGAGAAGATTGCGTAAAATGCCATCTTGAGTGTTGCAGACAGACAGACAGACAGACAGACAGACAGACAGAAATTTAGATGAGACTTGTTTCGGCTTCCTTAATGTATAAAACGTAAAAATAACCTAAAAATTTATGATTCTGAGCAATGTACAGACAAAACTCTAATTTTATTTATATAGATTAGTGGCATAAAGGTGATTAAAGCAGAGTCAAATTAAATCTTGAAATATGTTAAACATTAAATAGTCAATCATTTCAAGCGAACTTCATATGATTCCCTATAAATTAATCATGTTCGCTTATTTGTTGTATTAATACATTGGATGGATAAATTTAGTCAAATGTTGAAAAAATTACTATTCATTCTTGATGTTTATTTTTTCACATTTCATGTATACTTAATTCACCCCGGCATCTTAAAATACATTAAAGAATTTTAAAAATAATTTAGTAACATAAAAAAAAAATTTGTGGCATTTTATTTCAACATTTTCTCAATAAAATATGAATGTCACAGCCATGATGATATCATATCCTCAAATTGCGGATTCGTATTGTAAATGTATAAATACTGTATTTGCTAACAATATTCTACATATTGCATTTAGCAAGATTCATAACGCAGTTCCATCCTCAGGGTAATCATAGACACAAGTATAACATATACAGTATCATTGATTATTCAGTATTCAAATTAACATGCGTCCAAGGATTGATAATAACATCACTTTTGTACAAAATCTCATGAAAATTATTGTGGATTGCAATTAAGCATGTGTATGCGACATTTTCTTTGTTTGAAAATGAAACCGATATACTAGGAACTATTCGATCAAATGTAGAAAAAATGTTTTGTTAATGATTTGGTAAACAAAATGCCTGATTAGTGTGACCCCAGAAAGGTTACAGATAAATCACAAAACACCAACTGATTACCAACTGCCTACCAAGTCAAAGTACAGCGAAAAGAACCTAAGAAAAAAATCCAAATTCATTGAGAGACTGAAGTCCAAAAATCATAACATTATTTAAATCCAGTTAGCAGATCAATTATAATAACTAAAACTTAAGAAAAGTTAAAAATATATTGTCTATTATCTTGTTTGAAATACTGTATTTTGAAGCTATAAGCCCCAACCAAAAATTATTGTAATCAATGGGATTCAATTTCTAGGACAGCTAAGCACATAATTTTAGCTGTATTGAGTGTAAGAATCATAGATAAAAGAGTAGACACTCACTAACTATTACTTTAATATATGGTAGAACAAGATTATCAGTGTAGCTTGTTACTGACCACAACCAGCTGTTCCTTAACCCATTTATTAAATGCTCAAGGGATATAGGACAGCTGGTCCAGTTGAACCATCAAATAATGTCACATTTTGATCACCAAGTTCTAGTCTAAAAGATGAATTATTATTCTATTAATTCACGGCAAATAGGTTATTTTTGCAATAACTTATTTAGAAAAATCATTTTGAAGTATTATGACTCCTATCATACATAAATTAATTTTGATACGTATCATAAAAAAAAAATATATTATGAGTTCATGAATTCCATTAATTAAACAAACAAAATTATACACAAAATGAGATTATTAGAGTTATAACTTAAATAAAAGGTCGAAAATATGTGTATTATTGACATTGTAATAAATAAATTAATTAATCAAGCTTTATCTACAACCAATATGACTCCAGGCACTAATGTGTAAACCATGTTACATACTGATAGTGTAATTAGATTACATGCTTTGTGTAATGAACAACACTGCATGTTATTGTAATTGAAGGAATGAGCCAAGTTTGATTGTAATTAGATCCTGAACTCTTTGTCACAGTTTTATTATTACAGTGATCTTTGTTGACAGTGACATAATTGAATAGAAGCGTTTTGAATGACATAAACTGTTAAGTTCTATAAATAGTGTTAAATTAGTAAGTTACTTTATTTCGTTTTACTCCTACCAATTAGGAAATGAGTCTATATTAGTTCAGATTCAAATCACATTATTAAATGGGGAAAGGTAATTTCTGTAGTCATTTGTTAAAACGATTGTTTAAAATAACAAGCACAATATTTACGCAGTCAACCAATATTTTTATTGATTCTATATAAAGCGATAAGGAATAGTAATTTCTTGATGCTTAAAATGAGTTTTATAAGTTATAGCTTTAATGACATGAGTAGCTAAGTAACCTAATAAACAAAAGGTCACCAATTCGATATAATAACAATATGACCTTGAGCAGGGACAAATACAATGCAGAATAAGTAATAAAAGAATATATAAATTTGTTTACAACCTGTCATTACGAGATAACCAGGTGTAACTGAAGATAAGAGACAATAAGGACTTGTCAAGAGAATGGCTGTGTCTAGGTTGGGAGTTTTGATACAAGTTTTGGTCTCCTTCTCAGGTAAAAATGGAAGATTGTCTTTTAAAATTGCTGTGTTTCTTTCAACTATTCAGTATATTAAAAAGTAGTAGATCATTCTTTCCCTGATGTAATTTGTAGTATCGACTTGTGAATAAACCATAAATTACTTTTTATGTTTTACTAGCTGTAACCCGCGGGCTTTGCCCCGTTTAACTTCTTAATTTTCAAGATGATCTCGTTCGCATGGCTCAATCTTGTCCTGGTTGAAGTTCGTTCGCTACGCTCACTCACCTTTAGGTTGGAGCTCGTTCGCTACGCTCACTTGCCTTCAGGTTAGCTCGTTCGCTACGCTCACTCACCTTTTTGGTTGCAAATTAGCTGTTGTCATAAATGTAAAAGAAATAATAGTGCTGCACCCTGTTGGTAATCCTTGTAACTTTAATGCTATTGAACATCATAGAACAGAACCAACTTGTTTAATTGAAACAGCTGTTAAGATTCATTAATTCCATTTCTCATAAGGTTAACATGGGAAACTCCAGAGCCACTGGGGCGGAGCCTATTGGACGGATCACGAAATTGATGGTGTATAAACCTATTCCATGACATTCTACACGTATGTACCAAGTTTCGTGGCAATCGGTTCAGCGGTGTCCGAGTTTATCACCCCCAAACAAACAAACAAACAAATATATATACAAACATCCTCTTTTATATATATGCATACTGGCTCTTCAGACTTTTAAATATTCCACATTGAATTCTCAATGACACAAATCAAAAGTGGGTTTCAAAGTGGTTAACAGACTCCTCTAGTAATTTAAGACTGCTAAAGGTAATCCTAAAAACACTTTAAGTACTTTTGAGTTTGAAACTGGACCTGGTCCTGATAGTCATTGATCATTGGGATTTTAATAAATTATCTCGTAAAAAGTACCACTCACTACACAACATTATGCAGTATCCCATCACTCACTCTTGGTGTGAAATACAATTGTCAATTGTTATAAAATCATATTGTGAACTGCTATGTTATATTTCTCATTTGTTCCAGGGGCGCTATCAGTGTTTATAGCAGGTTGCTGCCTGGGCTGGCCCTCCCCTGCTGTCCGCAAGTTCCTTGACCATGAAGCCAACTTCAACATCACCCAAAGCCAAGTCTCGTGGATCGTCGCTCTCATGGACTTCGGCAACATCCTCAGTCCCATCCCCTCCGGCTACATGGCAGACAGCTTGGGTCGCAAGTACACCCTGCTCATGACTGCGTTCCTCTACATGGCGACATGGCTGCTGACAATCTTCGGCAACTCCGCTTACTACCTGTTTGCCGCTCGAGTGGGCGCCGGTCTCGGCAAAGGAGTAGCATTCACCGTTGTGCCAATGTACCTAGGGGAGATAGCAGGAGTGCAAGTTCGTGGTGCTATAAGTACGATATTTACAGGACTCCTCTATTCAGGTATTCTCTTTGAGTACTGCATCGGACCGTTTCTCTCGTACAACATGTTGAACATAGTGTCAGCGGTGGTACCGATTGTGTTCTTCCTTACATTCTTCATGCTCCCCGACTCACCTTACTTTTTGCTGATGAAAGAGCGTCACAAGGAAGCACGAAGATCGCTCGCTTGGTTCAGAAACTGTGACACGACCGATGAATTTTTAGCAAAAGAGCTGGACGATATGTCAAAAATGGTGCAGAAGGAGATGACGGAGAAAGGAAGATGGTCGGATTTGGTGAGTTCACCGGGTGCTAGGAAAGCTGTAACGATCGTTTTGTTTTTGTCTGCTTTTCAAAGATTTGGTGGCATATCCCCACTGCTTGCGTATACTGCTGTGACCCTCCCCAAGACTGGAGGAATCATCAACAGAGAGTACTACATGATCATCTTCGGCTTCACGATGGTCGTGGGTAACTTCATCGGCACTCCTCTGATGGACCGCGCAGGACGGAAGCTGCTGCTCATCATCTCATGTTCCTTGTGTGCTGTCCTCACGGGTGTATCGGCCGTCTTCTATTGGTACGCAGCGCCTGACAACGACATACCCGACTACAACTGGGTGCCCTACCTCTGCTTCGTCACCTACGGGATAGCTTACGGTATTGGCATTGGCGTCATTCCTTCCACCTTCGTCGGTGAACTGTTCCCCACAAACATTAAAAGCTACGCCTCATCGGTGGCAGCTATATCTTTTGCAGTTGCTTCGTTTGCGATCAACAAGTTTTACCTTCTAGTCAAGACAGATTTCGGTGTCCACTACATGTATATATTTTTCACAGTTTGTAGTATTTCCTCCGTTATTTTTACAGTAGTCTTTGTATTTGAAACTAAAGGCAAGTCATTCGCTGAGATCCAGGATAAGCTGAATAAGAGAAAACCTTTGCCGGAACCTCTGATGATGAAGTAGTCAAGGATTGTAAAATGCCATTTAAGTGCCAAGTAGACTTACAATAGTTTGTATATTTTACTGAAGACTGCAATTATTGAATTGTTTGATTACTATGTATATATGTTCTAACTCCTATATTTTTACATTTAAGTATTTTATAGTATTTCAGGGATTTTTTGTATTGTTAATAGAAATCATAAAAATTAAAAGTTTTATTAACATTTAGATTAAGATTTTATATATTAAACAATAAAATTGTAGTTGTATATGACACTAACTCTTTGAATTTTAAAAACTGAAATAAAATCTACATAATTTAAAGTAAATTTATACAGGTATGACAGGTTTAATTCAATGTTAAGATACTTACGTAACCGTTATTTAAAGGTTGCTATTTAAAGACTGGTATTAATAGGATAGGTTTTAATAAATATTTTTAATTCTGTACTCATGATTGATTTCAAACCTTCAGTTCAATTTTAACACAAAAGTTGTGTTGATTTAAGACTATAAAAAATGGTAAACACATTTTTTGCTATTATTTAGATGATACAATGATGATAAACCACAAATCAAGTTTTCTTCTTGTTTCTACCTAGTTTATCTGTGTTTTTGTAATGTTTTAACGAGAGGAAAAAATATATTTGTCATTCACGAGGATTTTTAATTAAACTTTGCTTGTTTTGTGAAAATTTTTTTATCACAGCAGAGAAACAAAAGTTTTGGCTTTCACTGTGAGTGAACCGTCGTATTTGGACAATTATCAAAACCAAATAAACCTAGAGGCATATCTATATTGAAAAAAGGGTTTAAAAAAATTTTTGCCGTCAAGAAATCTGGGATAGTTATGTTACATTTTTCATCACCAAAAAGGTAAAAAAAACTGAAAAATTGACATTTTAGCTATATTTAAATTTTTTTAAATGTGATTATCCAAAGAGTGCACAGAGGTATGTAACAAAACAAGAAACCACCTGTTTTCTGATTCATCCTCTTTGTCGATTGGTAGCCCTGCTTATCTGGGTCTCTTATCACACAGAAATCTTTGCTTCACTGACCAACTTAACAGGTGGTTCTTCAACAGCAGCTGACTTCTAAGTCAAGAACGATTGAGCAAGTTAGTAATTTACTCTTTTTTATTTCTGTATGATAAATTCAAGACCAGTCTCGAGTAAAATATTCATTCACGACTACAATAAAGGGAGTAAACATTTACAATTTATCAATCTGAAATTAATAAAAGTTTATGATATTATAAAACATTTTTTTCTCAATAGTAAAAACTGTTTTCCGCTTGGCTTTTCCAGGAACACTTTCGCTTGAGTTATTTATTAGAGATAAAAATAAGAAAATAAATAGTAGTAGGAAATTTATGAATTTGGAAGTAGAATATAATAACTTAAAATGAATCAAAATAAAATAAAATGTTTTGGCATATTTTTTTTAGGGTAGAAAATAACACAACAAAAATTAAATATAGACCTTCAGATGTGCTGCGGTTACCATAGGTTGTGGTGCACACCGCTGGGAGCGCCATGTAGTTATGGCATACGCGCTACGTAACTACACAGCGCTTCCAGCGGTGTGCGCCAGAACCTATGGTAACCACAGCACGGCTGACAGTCTATATTTAATTATTTTTGTCTATGGTTGTACACATTTTCTAACAGTGTTTTGAATGAAAACATTTTATAGTTGGTTTTTAGTAAAAATCAACTACAAAAAATGATTTAAGTAATCAACCTATATTTCAATGAGAGTAAATTTAACTACAATGTAAAGGGTAGACACTCTAGTGATACAGTTTATTAATTTTGGCCCATAATTTGTATAAGGATGATGTTACACTAGTTTTATATTCTATGGTCAGTGGTTAAATTATTTTAGTGTTAAAACATTTGTAAATGGAATTGTATTGACGCTGTTCATTGTACCATGTACAGATAAGTGAATGATATTTGAAAATTGAATCTTAATTATTTTCTTATTGTCGTATTGTCTAGTCTCTCAAACAGTGATATAGCAAATACCCTACTGATACTAATGCTAATTATGAATTTCACTCATAAAATAGCTAGAAAAATGAATCTTCATCACTATCATGAATGTTTCACCTAGAATGGATTACGTCGTTCCTTATGACATAACAGATGAACTTCTAAGGTAGGGATTTCCAACCGTTTATTACTCATTACACTAATCATATATCACAGAGATTACAGCTGAGCCGAAGCTGTTTAAACTCTTCTCTGCACGGAGATGAGGTCCCACACGGTCGGGGTGCTTCGGCAATACGCAGCCGCCATCTCAGGTTTGTGAGATTTTACTTTGTTAACAGTTCTGCTAGTATTTTTTAACGTATATATTTTATAATATTTTTACCCAATGAGCCAAATATGTGTGAGCGATTGGTGAAAATGCTAGGAATTTAAAATGTCACATAAAAGTCGGGTATACTAAACATAGCGTATTTTATTTTATACATTCATCATTATAGCACTCTTTAGTGATTTTTACGGAGAAAGTTAGTGAGCTGTTAATAAAATCTGCTCAGGGAGATTTTAAAGTGTTCATTATAAACCAATTCTCATTAGTTTGAAAAAAATGCCCTTAGTAGCTATAAAAAATAATTTAAAGACTTCAATGAGAGAAATACTTTTATATTCCTATTAGTATAGCATTTTAAGAAGAAAAATAAATGTTTTTGTGATGTACATTATATTGTCTTATCATAATGATTGACAATGATTTGTATCATGGAGTAAAAAGGCTTTTGTACAATTTGGTATGAACATCAATCAAGCATAAATAAATAATTATAAAATTAGATGGTATAACAATTTTTGTACCGTAAACTTGTTTGTTTTAATTAGTTTTAACTTAAAAAAATTATACTAGCCATTGAACAAGATGAAGTCAAATTTCTTTTTATCAGACACTAATGGTTGAATGACAGGGTTAGGCTTTACAACTGGCTGACGATAACATCACACTGGTTGTCACATAGAAAAAGTAAAAGTTCATTATATTCTTAAAGCAATTCATTGATGAACCACATTAATACCTGCACAAATTTTGTTTAACAAACCTAGTTTGTTTAAGAATTAATTTAATTCAGACAGTCTTCCTAATGATTCCTCTACACCGATCATTCAAATCAAATCAAATCAAATCAATCTTTATTCATAATGTGTACATGAGTCATACAACGGAATAGTGTCATTTCCTTATAGCTAACAGGGCTTATAATACATATTTACAACTGGTTATACTCCTCAACTGAATAAATAGGATTTGATGTAATATAATTTTTTAACTTAATTTTAAATTTATTAACATTATTTTCTTTTTTTATTTCTTTAGGTAAAGTTCTAAAAAACTATGCTCCTGCATATGATGGTTTTTTTGTGTAGAGTTGCAATCTGTGATGAGTGGGTATGATTTCCAATTTATTTCTGGTATTGTATGGGTGAGTTGGATGGTTTATTAATGGCTTGCTTGAATTCAAAGTTTTGTAAACCATAATTGTATCAAAAATATACTGTCCATAAACTGTAATAATTTGAAGATTTTTGAAATGCTCTCTACAGGATACTTCTTGATGTAGATTTTTAACGATCCGAATTGCTTTTTTTGTAATTTTTGAATTTTATCAAGATTTTCTTGTTTGGTGGAGCCATAAAGACAGATGCCAAATGATATATGAGAATGTATATAGGAATGGTATATTAGTTTGAGTGTTGATTGACTACATAAATCTGCCATTTTTCTCAAGGCACATAAACCTGAATTAATTTTTGATATGATTTTGTCCACATGTTCATTCCAATTTAGGTTGCCATCTATTAGTAGAACGAGAAATTTTGTGCTTAACATTTGTTCAATAGGTTCGGAATCAATCATAACAACAGGTTCTGCTGTGGTTTTTGACTGAGCTGTTTTAAATTATATATAATTTGTTTTTTTCAGAACGCCAAAATAACACAGTATTTTACAACATGGTGAACATTTTCTTCTATCCATTACCGATACACACCAATGCCATTTATTCAACTGTTACAGCTGCTATCCCCGTGTTCATCGTGGGAAGCTGGATCTCATGGCCTTCTTCCGCGGTCAAGTCCATCCTCAGCGGCGAGACCAACCTGGACATCACCCCCGAGGAACTCTCATGGGTCGTAGCTCTACTTGACTTGGGAAACGCTCTCAGCCCAATACCTTCTAGCTTCGTGTCCAACTGGCTCGGCCGCAAACCCACTCTCGTCGCGTTATCCGTTTCCTTCTTGGTGGCATCTTTGTTGGTGGTCTTTGCGACAAATGTATATTACTTGTATGTTGCTCGCCTCATTATCGGCATCGGTAAGGGTCTCGCCTTCACAGTCGTGCCCATATACCTCGGGGAAACAGCCGGTACCAAGGTGAGAGGGAGTGTTGGAACACTCTTCCTAGGATTGATGAACTATGGAATTCTATTTGAACTGTGCATCGGTCCACTAGTTTCCTATGAAACTCTCAACTTGCTTTCAATCCCTTTTCCCATCATATTCTTCCTCCTTTTCTTCCAAGTCCCAGAATCACCGTACTACATGCTGATGAAAGGACGAGTGAAGGATGCACAAAAGTCACTCTCATGGTTTAGAAGTCTTGAGGAGGATTCAGCGGAATTGCAACAAGAACTCAAACAGATCGCTACAAACGTGGAACAAGACATGAAACAGAGAGGCAGCTATTTGGAACTGATCAACACTCCGAGTGCAAGAAGAGCGACACTGATCATCATGGGGCTAGCCTCTCTACAAAGGTTTACAGGTGCTACATGCATCACAGCGTACTCCACCACTACTCTACCCCCGACTGGAGGCTACTTCAGCCCCTCGGTATACATGGTGTTCTTCGGAATCACCATGATCTTAGGACAGGTGATTTGTAGCACTCTGGTGGACATCTTCGGCCGCAAACCTCTCCTGATCATGTCAGGGTTTGGATGTGCCGTGTCTACAGCTGCAAGTGCTTTGTTTTACTGGCTCGACGAGTCACATGACATATCAGCCTTCAACTGGGTGCCTTATCTGGGTGTTGTTATATACGGAGTTAGCTTCTCTACTGGACTGGGAACCATTCCCCCCATCATATGTGCTGAACTTTACCCAGCAAATGTGAGAAGTTATGCAGCAGCTGTTGCTGCGATATTTTATGCCATTTCATCGTTTATCATAAACAAAATTTATCTCCAAATCAAATTGTCTTTTGGAATTTACTTCATGTATTTATTTTTCAGTCTGTGTTCAATTTTGTGTGTAGTTTTCACGTCCTCTTTCATTTTTGAAACGAGCGGTTTGACGTTTCTTGAAATCCAAACCACGCTTAAAAAGAAAAGTACGTACAAAAGTACTGATGTAGTAAAAAATGGTTCTTCCTCGTAGATTACTTATTTTTATTCAGGAATAAGAAATACATGTAAATAGTGTATATTTATTGTAAAGTATTGTTAATTAAAAAAATGTTATGAAATAACATATTTGTTGTCAAAATAGAAATTCTTTCTGGCAACACCCCAATACTAAAGCAGTATCATACAAACCAACAAATGCCTATTTTTGTAACATAATATTTTGTGTTCAATAACTAGTTGAACTTGTTTCCTGTTAAGAGCACACTAGTGTACCTGTTGCTCGAATTCGAGCAATTGCGAAGCATTACAGGCGACTCACGAAGATTATGGAAATACTCACGATCTACACAACAGTTAGATATAATCAAAATCTTTTGTAAATATCTTATCTTTTCTCAAAAAGCTGATCTGGTTTTTTAGTGTTTCTACAAATTTTTCCCTCTCATAGCCGCATAACTGTCTATAATAACAATTAAAAATGAAAAAAAAACCATTATTTCTTTTCTTCTACTTGGTTGTGTTCTATGACTTTTTCTATGTTTCCATTGTTTGCAAATCGGTTATTTCAATGATTGCTCAAGAAATGTAGCATATTGTTAATTCAGTTTTATGTTTAGCCTATATCGAATTGTCCAGGACTTCTCACTTTTTTCCATTGTAATAATTTCACCAACCCAAGTTTCGTCTACAGATGCAATACGCCAAAGAATATCAAGTGTTACTGTGATATTAGGATTTTCCACTGATTTGGTAATAGAACATTAGGCCTATATTGCAAAACATGACACGATGCAGAAGAAAATCCAATTTAAAATCAGAAAAACGCATTGCAAATACTGTAGGCTACTTCATTTTGACAAATTCAATAACTCACAATTTAAATATTAACAGCTGTTTCATTAAAAAGTAGGGTAGAATTAAGCATATGGTCGTAATGTAAACAAATCTGAAGAGGCAACTTTAAAGGCTTCTGGGGCAGAGCCCCATGGGAATTTACCTCGTTCCTCTTTTGTTGGCTCATCTACAGACCAAGATCTTTCTTTAGAGACCCCTACCAAGTTTCTACGCCCAGCCATTCTCTCAAATTAGCTGTGACAAAACCCCCGTTTTCCTCCATAAGAATAACATGGGATGGAAATTTAAAGGCCACTGGGGCAGAGCCCCAAGGGAATTCACCATGTTTCTCTTTTGATGGCTCATCTACAGACCAAGACCTTTCTTTAGACACCTCTACCGAGTTTCTACACCCAGCCGTTCTCTCAAAATAGCTATGACAAAGAAAAACAGTTTCAAATTAATATATAGATTACATAATCAAAGATAAATAATTAACGCTTAATTGTATGGAATAATTAATTGTTGTTAATACTTTAAAATGATTATATTTTAAAAATAGTAGTTGTTAATTTACAAACAAATTGAAGTTCACCATTAAATTGCAGTTTTCAAGTTCTAGTATGTGTCAGTTCATTCTTATCATTCTCTTTTTACCTTATCTCAATTTAGAAATGCCTTCTACTCTAGCAAACAGTTATCTTGAATACAACATATGTTACTAGCATTCACTACTGCATGTGCTACTGTATGTGCATGTTACTAACATGTGCTACTGTTCTGAGTTAAATTAGTTGTGGATTTAGAATGCATATTAGGTATGTTTACACACATTTTATATATAAAATACCTTTAAGCAGAAAATTACTTACTGCTAGCTAAATAGTCTGTAAATAAGTTCATTGCATATTCTTAAATTAGATAAACCAACTCTCCAATTTAAAACATGTACAAAAGACATGAATGAGATACTTGATCAACTAAGTAAATATCAAAATCCACTGATAATACTAACAGTTTTTTGTAGTATCTTTCAACTCTTTGTGTTCAAATTGTGAGTATAAGGAATGTGAGTTGCAGATATACAATCGAACACAAGAATTATTAACTATTTTTTATTCTATCAAAATGACATATAGGTACCATCTACAAAAATTATCATTTAATCGATTTAAAAACTAATTTCGGAGTTTACATGATCTAATGAAACAATCTATTCATGATCAGCATGTTTTTTTTTTATAGAAACACAGGAAAATCTTGGGGCAGTGAATTTAATAAATTCAATGTAAAAGTTTAAAATTGTTTTTTATGATTTTTGTCTATACCGTTATGGTCAAAATGGTGGTAATGCTACTAGTTTTAACAAGGCAAATTGTATTATTTCGTTATTTTAAGTCATCACACATATAAAAAAGCTGCAAATGTGTGCAACGATGAGGTAGGTGTGCTGACAATGTGTTAAGACAACAGTACTTTGGTAATCAACTCCACGAGCACCAAAGGTAACATTTACCACCAGCAGAGCAATCTGGTTAAATGACTCGATTAATCAAACCACCCTAATCAACCCCAACATTCCACAACAATGGGACATATCATTTGGATTCCTTATGATTCATTATTGTCATCAAATTTTGTAATTTATTAGTCAGGATCACCTACCTTTTTTTATTAACTACTAATTTAATTGAGAAATTTTGACGTTTTCACTGAGAACAAGTGAGTTAAAACTTGAATTTTTTAATTGAAATTTGTATAAACCGGGAGACATTTTTAAACATTTTGCACAGAGAAGTTTGAAATAAATGAACTATGCATTTAGAAATCATAATTTAATTAATATATTTTAGAAAAGATTATTTAAAAATCTTAACTTGGTGTAGCTACTACAAAAAGATTCAATAATCTATATATTAATTAAATAAATTACACAGCGTTATACACAAATTTTAAGATGCAAATAAGCACAGGATTATTGTACGATTCAATTAAATGATTTTGTAGCTTTGTTACTAACTAAGATCAGCTCTTTTTGTTCAGGGCCATTCATTGAAACCCAAATATTGTCAAGGAAAAGTCTAAAAAAATATCAAATGACCTTTCTCATGATTGAACCTAACTTCTGATAAAGGCGAGCACTAGCACACCACAGGGCTACTCAGCTGTTATTGTCAAATAGGGAAAGACTAGGAAATTCATGTAAATATATCCTAAAGCCTTTCACAACTAAGTCTTTACATGACTGATAACGCCAAAGGTCAATTGGGAAAGGTTAGTGATTCCTCAGTCTGGAGATTGAGTGAGTTATGGTCAGTCTCTCAGTGAGCGTCTTGTGAAGTTGTTATGTTTTGAATACATTAAATCATAACGACCAATGAGAGTGTCAATAGTACAGGATATTTAGACAGATAGAAATATCAGAAACTTGTGTACATTAGTGTAAATACCAAAGAAGTTATGGAAGTGACAAGGTACGTAGTTTTATTGAATTTAAACATTGGAACTACTGATTCTCAATTAACTTATGTGAATGGGAAAAGTATCAAATTTTTGAAAATCTGCATTTTTAGAACCGTAACTTAAAAGATGTATTCTGTTAAATTACAAATTTGCTAGGACAAAACTATCAGCTCTAATATTATAAATTATGACATTTTATAAAAATCTGAGTTTACTAAAACCTTATATGGTAGAAACTTTAGTTACAGTTTGTCTAAAAAAACAAATAAAATACCCCCGCCGCAGCAAACCTGCCGTCTAAGCGAATTTCCATTTGGCTGAATTGATTTTCAATCGATCTATCTAAATGACATTAGGTTTAACGAGTACCTAGGTTTGCTGCTACAAGGAAACTAATAAAGTGTGTGTTTTAAGTGAAATAATTATTGCTTAGTAGAAAATGAATATATTTGCCAAGTTTGATCAAAAGATATCCATAAATAAGCAAACTACAACATTTTACAATATTCTTCATAAGAATAACATGGGAATTTTAAATTTACAATTTTTTTAGTCTTCTCCGTAACCAATAACCGTACAAAAACACTTTGATATACTGAATTGTTTGTTTTTTTAAGCTCTTTAAAAAGGTTTAGAGAAAAATTGGGAAATTTTGTGTTTTGAGGGTCATAAGTGAGAAAAACCAATTTTTACCCCATAAAACCCCCCATAAAACCCTGTTCCCATGGTCCGATCATGCTGGATCGCGAACTCATTCAAGTTTATCCCGCCTTACACCTTCAAACCAAATTTCATCAAAATCGGATAAAAATTACTCAAGTTATCGTGTTCACGGACACATATATATATAAATCTATATATATATATATAAATCTATATATATATATATATATATATATATATATATATATATATATATACATATATAAAAATTTGAACGAATGGTGTTTTTGGCCTCTGGGGACATCAAAATGAAAAAGTAAATCGGTCCCGGGCCTAAGTCTGACCATGAGACCTACGGTAATAGCTACTTTCCTATAGGGAAATTCGCTAAAAACTAAAAAGAATTTTAAAAAAATTTGGATTAAGAGAATTTAATTTTACATTATCTTTAATTTATTTAAGTGATATATATTTTGTATTTAATTTTGAATGGGAAACAAATTTACCGTAGCATTTTAGTAAATCCTATTTTTGATCAAATATATAATCAAACATTGAAACTATGTTCATAGATAAAATTGTTAGTAAGTTAACTATTTGCCAATTTAAGAGACAAGTGTAAACAATATAACAATAATTATATCAATATAAAAAAAAACCTTAGTACCATATATTATTTTATTATTTTGTAGAAGGAATATTATTGAGACTATGGCCATGACTTAATTGTCTGTTTAGATCAAAGGTTACTAGTTTTATTTCTTTATGAATATCGATTACAGTATACCTAAATAGTGAACCATGTCTAGAATCACAGCCACCTCTAATACATACGGTAATGTATTAGAGGTGGCTGTGATAGAATACATACAATAAGACATACTATTGTAACAGGCCTTGGACATTGACGAACACGCACGAGTATTGAGGGAATTAAATTACGACGAGGTTTTAACTAATTGAAGTCATCAGTAAACACCTGATATGAATGCCGACTAAGTGATTATCTAACTTCCAACACGAGACAGCCGAGAGTCTGACGGACCATGACGATGTCGACGCCTGTAACCGGAGTGGTGCGACAATATGCGGCGGCCATGGCAGGTCAGTACATTCAGGTCATTGAACCTTAACCATGTAAAATAACCATGTAACCATATAATGTTATGTATGCAGTATTAGTGTAGAAACATCATTACAAATTAATATAGGGAGTAACTAGGAGCATAACGAGTTAACCAAAGTATTAATGAACTACGAGTGTAGAATCGAGTGAAGTGTGTTGTGTAGCTTTGTTGCTGAGATCAGCTGTTTTTTGGCCAGGACTTCTTTTATCAAAAGCTTAATGATCAGGTGATCTGTTCTAAACTTTTGTCTAATTTAGGTCTTATAGATAGTTATGTCAAACTCAGTAAAATAGTTTTTTTTATTTTTTTACTGTTAGATATTATAATTTTCTTATTTCAAAGAATGTCTTGTGCTAAAAAAATACATAACTAGTTATATTAAATTATTGAGTTTAATTATTTCACCTAGTGTTCATTTTACCTAAAAAAGTTTTAACTGAGATTTCAACAACAATGTTTGCCATTAAACAATGAACTATTTAAATGTATCAGTTTTATCCTACTATAAGTGGATCTGTTTGTCTTACAAACAAAAATTATCTCTTTCGGCCTTTGCCCTGTTTCGTGATATCCTCTTTGTACAAGCTACATACCGGAAACATTTTGATAACCTGGAGACTGGTTTTTTTTTAGATAAACGTTAACTAAAAACCAGGAAGTGTTCTGGTTTTCAATTGTCTTGCAAGGAACAATGTTCAAAACTGCCATTACAAAAAAAAAATAGTTTGCAGGAGCAAATTTGGCACCATACAGCTTATTTTTCATACAATAAAGTCTTTTTCTTGTTTACCTAATTGAAAATTGAATAAAATAATAGAATTCAGCAATAAGAAAACATTATTAAATGATTCTTCATCCTGTAGCATTATTAATATTTATAACATAATAGCTCGGTAGTTCTTGAGTTTTTACTTCTGTTAAGTCTTTTGAAACTGTGTCCCTCGTAAACATAAAAGTAAATTACCACTAATGAAAAATATAATGATTAAATTCCTCAATGTAAAGCTAAACATTCATTGGCTGTTTCAGCTGGACTGTCGATGTTCATCCTGGGAAACTGGGTGTCCTGGCCTTCCCCAGCTGTGAAGCACATCCTGGCTGGAGACACCAAGCTGGACATCTCTCCTGTCCAAGTATCCTGGGCAGTGGCTCTCCTGGACCTGGGCAACATCATCAGTCCCATACCTTCCAGCTACGTCACCAACTACCTGGGTCGCAAGGTCACCCTCATCATCTTGTCCTTCGTGTTCTTCCTCACCTGGCTGCTAGCCATCTTCGGCACCACCGCCTACTACCTCTACACAGCCCGCTTCCTAGTGGGTCTCAGCAAGGGGTTGACCTACATCGTGGTTCCCATCTACCTCGGTGAAATCGCCAGCACCCAAGTAAGAGGAGGTGTCGGAACCATCTTCGGTGGAATGATGGCGTACGGAATGCTCTTTGAGCTCTTAATCGGCTCGTTTGTCGATTACGACACGCTCAACATAATCTCATCTCCGTTTCCAGTGTTGTTCTTCCTCTTCTTCTTCAGATTTCCGGAGACTCCCTACTTTTTGCTGATGAAAGGGCGAGAAGACGAGGCAAAAAAATCCTTGGCGTATTTCCGTAGTTCAAAAGAGGACTCGACAATACTGCAGCAAGAGCTTAAACAAATTTCAAAAAATGTTTCGGAAGACTCAAAGAAGACCGGAGGTTACATGGATTTGGTGAGTTCTCCGAGCACCAGAAGAGCCACTCTGATTTCAGTAGGACTTGCGACAATTCAACGGCTGAGTGGGTGCACCAGCATCATCGCATACTCCACAGTCACCTTGCCCCCCACTGGAGGATACTTCAGTCCTGACGTTTACATGATTATATTTGCGGTCGTAATGATCATCGGACTAACTATCTGCACCACTCTGATAGACATGTTCGGACGTAAGCCTCTGCTGATCATCTCCAGCGTAGGCTGCATGATAGGCACTGGAGTCACCGCTGTGTTCTACTGGATGTCCACATTCACTGACGTCACAGCATACAACTGGGTGCCGTACTTCGGCATTATCTTCTACAGTATCATGTTATCAATCGGATTAGGCAACATCCCGCCTGTCATCACTGTCGAGCTCTTTCCCGCCAACTTAAGAAGCCATGCTAATGCGCTCACTGCAGTTTTTTACGCACTTTCCTCTTTTATCACAAACAAAATGTACCTCCAAGTAAAAATGTCAATCGGTGTTCACTACATGTACTTGTTTTTCATGATTTGCTCATTCATCGGTGTTATTTTCACAAGCTTTGTCGTGTTTGAAACTAAAGGGATGACTTTCTCGGAGATTCAAGATACGCTCAAGAAGAAAACACATTGTGAAAGTGAAAACATTCCGGTTGCAGCGAATATGCAAACTCTGAAAACATCTTATGGTATTTAAATTACTTTAAATTTTGAGAAAGCTTTAATTTAGGAAAACATGGAATCTTTAATAGCATCTTGTAAGATATTTACCAAAGACTAAAGTGATACAAAAACATAACTAATAGAATTAAGCTTACAAAAAATACACCAAGCGGTATTTTAATTAAGCATGGTTAAGAGATGGGTAGTTCCAAACATTAAAAAAATTTAAATTTTAACCTTAGACAAATATATTTTAAGATCTTGTGTCAAGGCAATCTAAGTATTAGTGATTACTCCAAAAATATTTATAATAAACTACTCTAAAAGTGTTTGTATGTGGCTATGCATTAAAATAAATATTCAAGCACAGCTTTACAAATTAATTGTTGTAAAATAATACGATCTTATTCTTAGTTAGTAATAATTTATTTTGGACACTGAAAGAAGTAGAAGAGGTATTCTTAGATATCTGAACATTTTTGCAATAACTAACATTAAGTAAACTATCATCACTTGGAGAACAATTTTAACCAGATGACTTTGATACTTAATTAGAACAGTTAAATTCATAAAAAACATTTTGAAAAAGTTATAATTTTATTTCAGATAGGTACTAAACATTGTGTTTTGTAAGCGGTATGTTTTAGAGAATAAATTTATGTCCACCAAACTTGCGAGGACAACTTTTTGCTGCCCTGTGTTTAGCCACCATCTGCTATCCCAACTAAAACTGAGTTTCATCATGAAGGCTTTGTTCTAAATGATAAACAATTAGTTACTAAACAATACTCAGCTCTCAACTGTGCGTTTCTACGTTTGAGAGCAACTCTTACCGAATGTAATATTAACAGTAAATAGTTTATTTTGCAGTATTTAACATATTTTTTACCTACCTTCTAGTGCATTGATAAACAAAATAAATACATTTTTAAAAGTAACTACAGGATGGAAAATAATACAAGAATATAGGTAATTTGAGCAGGTTTCCTTCAACTATATAGTTCTGAAGACATTCTGTAATTATTTGTCTTTATCCAATACAAATACTATTGGCATGTTTTTCGTTTGTTTTTTCTCTTTTTCAAGGGCAGTCCAAACTCTTGTGTTTTTAGTATCAAACGTCTACCAATTGTTATACATTATCATTAACAGCTCAATGACAAATGCTATTTTGGTCTGGAATCGAAACAGCAACCAACATATTTGAAAGCGAGATCTATAAACATGCAGCTCCCCAAACAATCAAGGACTTTAATAAATGGGAGATTAATGAAATATGCCTGTACTTAGAATCACATTGTTCCTTTTGACCCAAAATTAAATAATAATAATTTGGGCCTATTACAAACAAAAATAGTAAATAAACGTAACTTTATTTTCCGACAGTAGTTTATCTGCTTTTGCTTCAGTAACTCAGAGACTCTCCCCATTTTTGTTTATGAATGACTGAAGCAAACTATGACAAACAGTTGGTCTTATTTATTTACATCTTTTGTGTAGAACCCCTATTTCATGAGCCGTAAAATATGAACTATGATAGTTCAAAGCTTTATTTTCACCAATGGTATAACAATAGCTCACTCTATGGGATATTCACTAGCACCTAATGACTAGCAATGTGTAGTGTCTCTCGTCTTATCATAGTCTCGCAGCCTTCCTGGCAAGGCTTAACATAATTACCAGTCGCAACAACTACAATAACTCCCGACTAATGGACTTGTATTCTGCTTAACATTCGCTGTAATCGTTTTGCTGTTTATAATCGCAAAAAAATTTCTTAAAGTTGGTTAGTTACCGTATTACATTTTAAATTGAAAAAAAATTACACATTACCGGGAACTTTTTATTGATTTTGCCTTAGATATCAGGAAAAATTAATAAATATTACAATTAATGTTTTGCACGTAGATGCAAAACAAAATTGACTTAAAAATGTTTGAGAATTTTGGTTGATCACACTTATAACACTGTGTTGGATTTTATAAATGAATAAGTTATTTAATGGAGCGGTTCATAGTGAAAAATGGCATTTCACTCCTTTTTTGCTTTTAATTCTACAAGTCCGCAAAAATGTCTAGATATTTTCCAGTTGTTTTACTTCAGACCCCTAGCATATAATGATTTTCAATAAAACGCTAAAACATTATCTTGAAAAGAAATGTAAGGTCAGATTGAAGTTTTTTGTATAAAATACATTATTGAACATGTAAATTTTTTTTAGATTTTGATGCATTTCTGTTTTTGTTAGAAACTGTTTTGTAAAACAAGAATTCTAAAATAATATTGTTGAATTTTTTAGCTTACTTTTTTAGAGCAACTAAATTACTTGGTACATTCTTTTACTAAACATTTAGTGGCTATAAACTTTGATAAAGAGTTTAAAATATATTATTATGAATGTGTCATTATAATTTATTTTTATAATTTAGCTCAATGGTTAGTGTTGGATAGTTTTAAAAATTAATTCATCCATCCCTGATATACTTTTCAAGTGATTGTACAAAACAAAATATACTGGTCCCATACAAAATACACTTTGCCCATGCAACTTGGAAGCAAAAACAATCTTCTCGCACATTTCCAACGAATCTTTCACCGACGAGTGAAGCAGGGGAAACACGGCCGCTAAGTACACTAAGCCGGGGCTAAGAGAGTTTGATTAAAAACAGAACAATGTCTCACCACGGGTGCTGATGAGGGAGAGAGTTTCCCTCAGTTACGAGTTACGAGTCGGCAGTGAAGTGGGGAGCACAATTACAACACAATCCCCAGCAGGAGGTGGCAAACTACGTTTACAGCCTTCTTGATCACAACTCCCAACATATGGCTTAACTCACTGTGTCACACGAATATGATGTTATACCCTAATGGTACATCAACCGTGAATTTTACAATATTGCTGCATCACTATTATAAGATGATCAAGCAACAAGGCCAAATAAAGAATATTTTGTGTTGTTAAAAAGTGGCATTTTGCTTACTAGAGTTAGTTTTCAAAACAGCTAATTTCTCAACATGTTACTTTGCTTATGTTTCTAGCAGTTTTGTTTTAATTTAATAATAAAAACAGGAAACGAGCTGAATATAGATTACATGAATTCCTACATGTTAAATGTTATGAAAACATAAAATCACAGTTTTTGTTTGAAAACAAGGTAATAAAAAAATGCATGAAGATGATTGACAGTTTGTAGTAGAGTATTTTTTGTTTCCCAAATTTTGGGTTACAATACGCAATAACTTGTCGCCACAATAATCCAGAACAGCCTCAAGAATCCTAGTCTTAATGTGGTAAATACATTCAATGAGTAAATAATTTTAGTTGTCACAAAAAAACAAATTGTGATCAAAATATAATTTTCACTCGTGTTCAAAGTGTCTTTTTAAACTGGGTAACGTTTTTCTCTCGTTTAAACAAACGCCACTTTGCTACTTAGCAACTAGTGAGTTGCTCAAATAACTGTTGTCACAGGGGATATTTTGGTGACTACAAAACTGGTAAGAAAGTAAACAAATTTTACCTCATGCTCTTTTTATGATGCATAAACAAGTGTAAATTGTACTTCAACCATAAGCTATTGAGGTTGGGAGTAAAACGAAAAGAGAACCGCACAAAAGAGCCTGCACAATGGCTTGGAATGTGCCTTTTTCCTTCAAAACGATGTGAACACAACCGTTAACAAAACCATAAGACATCATTATTTAGTGATAGATATGCAGCTAAGGTGTATAAAAAAATGAATGAAAAATAAGTGCAGATTCTTGCTATACAATTGTATTATTACTTCAAAAAATAGGTGTCTGTGGGTCATCATTGTTACTCGCAAGAATGGATAGGACTAATGAACCAGAATTGAACACAAAGATGTACTGATGAGTGCTGATTTGATATTATAACTAAATGTTTTGTCAGAAAGGTTTCTTAGGTTATTTTCTAAGAAAATTTGGAGTTAGAGCAAAGTTTTACCTTGTGACCGATTAAATTTGTACTGTGTGAGTTTACAGGTTTGCTGAAATGCGGGTTTGATTACCGATTTAACAAAATGATGACTAGGTATTCAAATACTATTTTTATTTAATCACTCAGAAGTACCAATAGTATCTCAAGGGTTAATGTAATGTTAAAGCAGTTAATTATTAATTAATTAATCTTTGCGGCTAGTTTAACTTAGCTGAAAGTATTTTGTAGTTAATTAATTAGGTTCAGACAAATTAACCTCTATTTTAATCATCATAATTAATTAAATAAGATGACCGGTATAAAAACAAGAGTTTGATATGTGCTTTTTAAAGTAATTGAGTGGCGATGCTTAAATAGAGGGTTTAATTAGTTCAATTATAAATTAAATCAGTGACAAGTTAATTTTTCTAAGTGAGAAACCTGTAAACATTCATCCCATATTATGTGATTGTGATTAGTTATACAACTTTTTTAATTAAAAAAAATATATGTCATATATTTAAAGCAAATTAATCTCATAGACAATTTTAAAATATAGCATTTTAATTTATGTTACAAACACTAGAAGTTTATAATTGTTTACAGAGTCGATTATCTATATAATGTTTAAAGCACCTTGCCGCTGTCAGATATTGAATTGTGTTACACATAACTGCTACATAGACAGATAAATTATTTATTTTTTAATGCGATGACGCAAAAATATTATCTAGCTATTTCATGGAGGATCAATCAAAGGATCAGTAAGACGAGTTAGTCCTACATTAGTCGTCTTAAGATCAACCCCTTACTTTGTTGGACTGGACAAATTTGGAGGAAGAAAACAATCTGAGGTTTGTGCCTAATTGAACTCCTACTGGGTTTATTTTCTAATGAGAGTGAAACTAACTCAATTGTATCGTGAAATGTTCCGGATGGCAGGTGACCGGATGGAAGACCCAAAGCAAAATGGTGGAACCAAGTCCGGAGGTATAGGAACTTGGAGCTTAATGAGGAGAAAGCTACAGACCATAACTACAAGAGAGGCTGTGTTTATATGAGGCCACCGAATAAGGTAGGGGAGGCCACTCGGTAAGCAAGTTAATGCACCATTGTATATCAACCAGATCACTCGCGTCAGCATCAACTAACCCATGAGTAAATGCAGGTTATGAAAGACTTCCTACCTTTAGTAGCAGCAGGAGAGGCCTTTGCAGGCGTGGTGAGAGTTTTGATGGCTTCAGCAGCTGCTGCAGCGGTCGTAGAAGGCTTTGCTGACTCTGGCTGTTCCTCGGCTTCTCCTCGGTTCTTTAGCACATTCCAGTCCTGCAGCAACCTAGTCACTTTGTTCTGCAAACAAACAGTCGAGAGTTGTAAAATGATCATTTATCCTTGGTATTTTATATGTAAAATTCATTGTTACATTTTATCCTAAATTTTATGGGCTTTTAGTGGAAGAGGGTTTATTCACCATTACAAAAAAAATCCAAACACACTCCTTTTCATTTATTCATTTTCGTAGCCTCCACCCACCAGAATTGCTGAATTGTAAGGCAATCAAGGTTGCAAAGCTTAAATTCAAGTAATTCCTTTTCTGGTACAATGACTATGTATACATTTCGGTCAGCAGGTTAAAATCTCGTGATCAGATCTTCAAAACCCCTACCCTTTTCGTTTTCTAGGTGTTCTGAAAAACCACTTTGACACACCATTATCACAAAACTAAACGTGGTTATTGACAGACAGACTCACATTCTAACCACAAAAGGAGCCACCCACACTCTCCACATAACCACACTCACAGGTATATCTTGGACTGGGAAGTTTACAGCTATGTAGGAATAAAAACTAGGTTTAACTACATAAGAAGAAAACTTAACTCAAAGACGATCTAGAGTTGAGTACTTACATGCAAATCCGAGGACATCGGTTGCTTGACTGCTTGGCACTCCTTTTCAAGATTGGTAAAGTTCTCTTTTAGATCCTTTACTTCAATTTCCCGGTCATAGACCATGGTCTGAAAATCAAATTGCGGTAAGTAATGGAAATACAACCTAAGAGCAGCTTATGTAAATATGGAATGGTTTTATGATTAAACACGAGTAGTTCAAGCAATATGAAACTAAAATGAACAACTTATATGACAACAAAAGCGATCATAATAATAAACATATTTGTACATGTTTTTATAGTTTTTATATGCAACCAAAATTTTCTGGAGAGTTTATTCTTAAGTATAGCCTAGTTTAAAACTTCAGAACTTAATTATTGAAAATGTACACCTGTAGAGTTTTTAGTGAGAAAGTATAACGTTGTTGTATTAATAGTCAAAGGTATAAAATTGCATCAATCATCACACTGACTGGGACGGGTGGCGTCGTCCTGTAATCCAGCTACTAGGAGGTCACGAATTGTGTATATTTATTGGGATGCACTGTGGATGCGATGCTCCCTGGTGTGGAGTAACGTCCGCACTAGTGAGTACTACGACTTACCACATATACTACTATACTATACATACACTACTACATACATAGTATACATATACTTACTATCCTGATAATTAGACCAATTCGTAAATTGCAAGGAAAAAATGTGGTTCGGATTCCACTATAAACTGTAGGTCCCTTAGTTGCCATTAGCTGTATGGGCTATTAATTAACAGCTGTGTCTAAGGAACATGTCGGCCTTAGTCACTAACAAGACTACAAGATCGCGCCACTCATCCTACACTCATCCTTCACTCATATTTGGGTTAAAATACGCACATAGTGGCGTCCCCATCTTAAATAATTGATAATTGATAATAACTGTTACAATAATTTGGGCCAAAATAAAACATGTTTCCCAGCACTGTTATCAAAATTATTCCATTTATAAATTTACTATGATCTTGATATTTTGTTACTGACAGCAAAAATTTTTAATTTAGTTTTTTTTAAGCTTTTTTGTACACTGTACCGACTCTAAAACAAGTTCTAAGACAGAAAACGTTTTGTAACTCCTTAACGTTGTCTATTTTGATATTGATTGCTTAACGACAATAAAGTGTTAAAGTGTTATTAACATGAAGCTGTTTCTCACCATAATGTTGTCCACTATCCTGATCTTCTCCGTGGCCGGCAGTTCCTTGCTGATGTTGATACGAGTCAGAGTCTCATTCACCCAAGACGTCACATGTTCCAGTTGAGTCTTTAACTTCTTCAGTGAAGCGAGTTTGGCAGTGATTTGGTCTCTGTGCTCAGTCAGGGACGTCAACACCTGGAAATACAGTTTACATTGTTATGATGGAATTACATATATGATGTATACACTGCAGATCTTAAATAATGTCAAAGAAATCAAAAGCTAGATTTTTTGGTTGAATAATGACTGCAGATTTACGTTTTTTATCTTTCTCTAACTGGGACTTGTCTACTTTTCCAAGAGAATGGCTTAAACCCTGATTTTGTTACATCCAATTTCTACCTGAAAATATACATAATATTCAATTCATAAGGCAGAAATATAATAATTTTTTTTTATTTTATTTTTTTTTTTTCCTAGGACGCTAGGCATGAGCCTGGGATTGTTTTTCACATTACTTCAGGCTAGACCTTGGGGTTGCGGCATTATCACTTAGATAAAATCCATTGGTGACTAGGCGGGGATCGAACCCGGGACCTCAGGGACTGAAGTCCCGCGCTCTAACCACTACGCCAGCTCGCTCCCCCAGAAATATAATATGTTGCAATGTTGTAAAATAATATTTGTCAACAAATATATTGAACAATGTAATTAACATTTTCTTATACATAAGTTTTTCTAAATGTGTTTGTTGTGGTATTTCTCAGGGTATAATTACAATGTCATCTATACGATTTATCAAGAAAGCAACCCCCTACCTCTAACAAATACCTCTACCTGTATTGTAATAATGAAAGTAATAATAATTGGTTTATTGTAGTCGACAAAATACATTGTATAACAACGTCAAATACATACAAAAATAGGGCGTAGGTGAAAACAAATCCATGTTATTATTTATATTTTTGTGGTTAAAAACAGTTTATTTTTGGTTGTTTTTTAACCCCAAATTATACTACTGCTACTGACCTTTTTAGCTTCAGACACTACTTTTGTCGCTATTTCGTCTTCACTTTTGGTATTTGTCAAATCTTGTAATTTACTAACAAATTCTTCTTCTTTTGTCTGAAAATTAAATGACAAATAGTAAGTAATTAACACACAGAACAGCAACTTTTGATATTGAACCTAAAACAATACACAATAGAACTGTTTGAAAGCAAAAACATTTGAAATATGTTTTTACAATTTATCACATTAAATATCAATTATTTTTGCATAAACACTATGAGGTTTCTATAGAACAATAAAAATATTAAACCAGGTAACAGCAATAAACTGTTGATATAAAGGAAGACAATGGAATGCAGGCCAGGAAGGGGGAATGCCTCGACTATTTGTGTCATCTTGGGCTATTTTGGAAGAGCAATGTCTCGAATCCTACGTTTATTCTGAATCTGCCGCATAGATATTAAACAATTAACAACAATTAATGAACATAATTTTATTATTAAACTACCATTACATTCCAATTACCTTCTATTCATATCTATGATATTTTGTTAAGCATGGAGTCTGAGTTAAACGTTTCACGTTTTTTAATAGGAGCACGATGATTGTCTAAAAGTCTTGTCCGAATATAAATTACACCACGTTGATAGATGATACTACCTGCTGATTTAGTTTTCAGTTTTTACTGATGGTAAATAAACCGTAGATAATTCCTTCAGTATCAACTTTAAAATGACATTTTAATTTGATATATTTTATAGTCAATCACAGAACAGGCATGTTAAGCTTCACTCTAGTTTCAAACAAAGACTGTGAAGGCATACCATCTTTTAGCAACTGTGTATCCTCATTCTATGTATTGAGTTTTTAAATGTTAATATTAAAGTTATTATGTTCTTTCATATTTAAATATTTTTCATTTTTTAAACTGATTGACCTCAAATAAATATGTGTGGGTTTCTGTGACTACTGGTAACTAAAAAGTAAAAAAACAAATTACCACTTCTTCATATCAAAAATAATTAATGTAAGGTAGTGTCAGTTTATTTTTAACCTTTCCACCACAAGTTTACATCGTCTTCCTGTAGTATTCATAAACAAGTCTTTTCATCACATATTTCACTTGGTTATTACAAACAAATATTTTTAGCTCACCACAAACACATATAAAACTGCACCTTATTTATGTGAGGCCAAACATTCGGTACAACGCTGCTTTAAATAGCATACTAAATTTAGATTACTAGTGAATCGAGGTTTATAACGTAAACTGATAATTTATTTCGTTGATAGGCAAAATGACGTAACTGCATACATTTTCTCAGAATTTGTTGGAAACAATACCTCATGCTTTATAAAATATGACATTCTAACTTTAATGTTTGAAAAAAATTATTTATATTTTACAAACGATAAAACCCTTATTCAGGGATTAAATACCATTTTGAATAGGCTTGCAGGTTCTACCAAAGCACAATAATTCAACTTCATTCCACACACAATTTTTTTTAAATAAAATTTTCTTAAATTTTAACTTGAATTTATAGTTATGCCTACATTCAATTAAACTACACCATGTGGTTTGGAAAGTCCTTATATGAGTTTTATCTTTAATAACGTAATGAGAACAATGTGTGTCCAAAATGATATTTTGGCCGGATGGTCTTGGCTTGTAGCTGTTTCTCCGAATGTTTACAGTACAATGTGAGTTTGGCAGAACTTCAATAAACCATTGTCACACTTCCTCCCACGGACAGAGTGAGATCTTCTGTTCTCTGATAACCTTTATGCTTTATTTAATTTTAAGCTTCCACCAAGCCCCATATTTCTTTGTGAACCACTTTGATGTTTTGTGACGTCTTCATTTGTAATACAGTCTAATGAGTAACCTCTGCATATATCTCTTGTTATCATTTTCACAAACCCCTAAAATTTTTAGTTATTTTCTAAAACTTATTTTTTTTTTTATCGCCTGTTTTATGTACTGAAAACCCCCTTATCGGTACAATGACATGTAAATTATACCAGTGACAGTTATTATTGCAAATTAATGTCCAGCCACATTAGCCACATTGCCAAATTACATTACAATGAATCAATTTGGCAAACAGAATGAAACTAAGAGGAATCATTTTCGGCATAGACATTGGAAAATGACATCAGTATAATTGATACAACTGGACTATTAAACTGGCATTGTTGATTCTAATGAAAGTAAAATTATTTTTGGTGCCCTTTATCTTTACTTATGGTTAGTCTTGGTACCTATTTATTTTAGAGAAAGACAAACTGGCACTAGAGCATATGTTTTGCTGATAACAATACATATTTGTAGGAATATAATAATAACAGTAAAATACTACCAGGTCACCCTAAGAGTTGGAAATGAGTGCATTAGGATAAGATCAAGATGAGGAGTTAATGAGGAAGATAGTGAGGACTCGAACTCGTGGAACAGATTTTTGACGAGGCCAAATACCACTTAGTTATAAATGGCCATGGAAGTACCGTAAGTAACTTCAAGTATGACTACTATAAATTGTATACAGTACAGTAGTTACAGTAGTGTACAGTAGTTAATTAAGTGGAGAGACATTGTTGGCGAGGCCAAAAACCTTCATAGGTTTCAGTGGGCAAGGAGGTAAGGTAAGGTACAGTAGTTAATCTGTTTTTTTTTTGTTTTTTTTATTTTAGGAATTTTTATTTACAACTCTACCTGAGTAATTTTTAAAGTTAATCATATTGTGATACCTTAACAGGAACTTTTGAAACAGCATGTAGACGAATAATTCAATTGACAAACAGATTGTCAGACTGATTCTATATCAATTATTAATGTTGATTTTCTAGGTTGGATTAATGTGTTTATATTGTGTTTTATATTCAACACAATGTGGGTGAGGATGTCACTTACAGATATCTTGCCCAGCCGCACTGACAGGGCTGTGTCGTCAGAGGGGTTCACAGGGTCAGCGACGAGGGCTCTCACCTCGGCTATTTTGGTGTTGACCGCCTCCACCTGCATCTCAGGCGGTCCCTCCAGCCCAAACATCCTGGAACAGTCATCATCATCACACAGTCATCATCATCACACAGTCATCATCACACAGTCATCATCACACAGTCATCAGCATAACACGGTCAATTTCACAATATCCAACACACTATAAATACATTTATCATCACACAGGTTTTATCACCATACTCACAAGCCAAAACATCACAATCATCACACAGCCAGTATCACCATCACATACTGTTATCAACAATGTTGTTATAAGTCATCATCATCCATTCATTTCTATGATCAAAAATCTATCATTATAATAATAACACATTTATCATCATAAACATCACACAGTCATTATCACATTCATCGTCACAAGTTATGAACCGTAAACATCATCATCATCACTACTGCACAGTCATCAAAATCATACAGTTATTTTTATATGAATATTTGAGTTTTTTTTTTCAAAATTCCTATTTTATAGGGGCACTTAAAATGTATAAGAGCATATCAAATAGTGTTGATTGTGTTAGTTGGACATAACATTTTTTCTTTTAGTCACAAAAATAAACAAAAAATTAAGAGGAAAGTGATGGACTTTCTACATTATAGTGATGATCTAGGTGTATCTGGGGAGGTGATTTTGTTTGATCTTACTTACAAACACATTTAGATTAGTATTGATCGGATGAACTATTGCTAAGTATACGTCCTTAGCACACCTAGATTATGATAAACTAATTTTTAAAAATCATGAATAATAACTCAATGAATATTTACTATGAAAGTCCACAGGATTATCAAGTTCTGAAACTTAATTTCTAGTGTTTGTTGTCATTAAATTTAAAACTTTTTGATCAAATTAATTATACTATTAAAATAAAATGCATAGAAATAACTTGAAAATAGTGTACATTAGTTCACCTGATAAACGACAAATTTAATTACTGTTTTTCTTAACTTATCAAAACGTTTCATCCAAATAGCGCTTGCTTGCAAAACCTCCCAACAGATTTGGCAACCTTTGCAAATATAATTAATTAGTGGAATGGTGGTTCTTAGCCAATATTTACAGTGCAACACAAACATTCTGACTGATAATGCTTAAACTTGGGTTTGTAATGAAAATTAAAACGATTGAAAACAATGTTTAAGAGGTTACTCAGATCACTCAAAAATTGAACATTTAATATCAGTTTGGTTCGATAAAATTGTAAAGCAGTTCTAACAAGTAGATTTTGTACAATCCTGAAAGACTTTAGTCAATGAAAGTTGCTTATAACTAGAGTGTAGAACTTATAGGTAGAATATGTCTAAAGGAAATTATTCAAGTTTTAGATAAAAAAAATTTCAGATTGTAGTTCAATTTGGCTGAAAACACATAAAAAGTACTTCCATTTCCTGATTTCATGCTAATACAAATTATCAAACGAAAATTCATTTATCAACAGCACAGTTTGAATTTCTCAGTCAAGTTAAGTAAACAAAGCAATGCATAAACAGCCAATCCTACTCAAAAATGTTTAAGTGGTAATAAAAGTACAAACATTAAAATGAAGTGTAAAGCTTTAGAAAACATAATTATTTTTACACATATTCAGCATAAAACATAAAACCAATCAAATTTAAAAACTCACTTCACAACTCCAACATTACAAAATCACTAATACCGAATTCCACTAATAAAATATTTAAAACTTTACAAAACACTAACACTATAAAAAGATATTTTGAAAAATCTTTAATCTTTCCCAAATAAACTATCACACAGCTTCAAACAGCACTTTTACGTTTCCCGAACTACACAAAAATCGTCGCCGTAAGCTACGCGACGGTGCCAGCTGTGTGGCCGAACCGCGTGGACTGAACACAACAACGAGCATTTGGCGCTCGGCCACGTCTCCGACCAGACATTAGAGACCTCATATCACCTGTCAGACTAACTGGGTGTAGAGCTGACTCATTCATCAAACTATTCCGCTCGCCACCGCAGCGTCGTCTGCAGACCGACAACACTGTAGAAGCAGTCAATGTTGAAAAAGCGAAACTGATTCGGGTTGTAAAATAGCTGGTTTTAAAATAGAATTAGAGGTAATATGAGCTGAACAATTCTGAGGTGCATTGAGTGATGAAAAGTGTGTATTGAAGTTATGCTTACAACAAAGGTAGGATTGGTGATCGTGATTGTGTATAATGATAGAAAAGCTTGAGAATTTTATCATGTTGTGAAACAAACAATAAATTATGGTAAGTAATTTGTTTGGGAAAAAATTTCATGTGAGGTTACAGTATTATTTGTAGCTTTTAACTTCTTACGATAGCAATACTTTGAACACTCTTACAGTAAATTTTAAAGTAATAAATTTATTTACTTCATAAAGTGTATAGTTTTAAATTCACACTTTGGCAGGGATAGGCTAAGAAACACTGTAATTTTAGCAGATTTTCCCGTTGGAAAAATTTATTGCTGAAGTCTTTATGGTAATGTTTAAGTCAAGGACTATTATACTTTTTTAATTAAGGTCGGTATATTCAGGAATCACCGGTTTTGCAAACATGATAACTCTCGTAATTTGTTTAAAATTTTGTTCAAATTTAAGTCAAATAAACCAACCATTTGTATGAGTTTGTGAAAAAAATAATATTGAATGGAATGAATCAGTGATTTTAAAATTGTTTGAAGAACTGATGAATTCTCAAACTTACCATAATACTCAATTAGAGTTTGACTTGTATTAGATCTTAGGGTGAAAACCCCTAAATACTATGTAAATGTGAATATAATTGTTTGATAAACTATGCAACAATAGTGACAGCTCATCTGATATCACCAATTGTTACTTGATGACTGGAATACAGTCAAGATAATTTAAACAGTTACAAAAGGATTGCCAAAATCAAAGTTAAACACAAAACAGAAATGAAAAAAAAAATGTTTTCATCCCTCCATACAGAAAGTAGCTAATTTGGATGACAACTGATCAAAGACAACAATATTGTCTCCCAAGCTCTAATTTAGAGGAAGGGAAAATCAATCAGCTGATTTTCCCTTGCCCTAAATTGACTTTCCCTTGCTTTCAATCAGTTCTCCACTTACCCACCATTTACGCAAGTGTTTGTATACAATTTATGTCAGCTCTTTTTATTGTTCAACAATACAAATTAAAACACACATTATGCATTGGCTAGCTTAGCTTATAGTGCTTGCAATATACTAATGACCATAACATAACCTTGGATTTCACTTTGTTATGTAGGTTTGCTATAACAATTTTATTTAATTTTTTAGTTTTAATTTCACTGAGGTCTGTTATTCTGTATAAGAGTATTTCTGCATTGTGATGAAAACTATCGTTCATAACCTGTCCTGAAAGAAGTTTTTTAGCACTTTCTCCGATTATTCCCACCCTCAGCTTTGTCTCACAGAAGAAACTTGAGCACACTCTTGAAAAGTCACTTTCGTTCCTAATAATGAAGTATACTATTCCCAACACTTACTTGTTTTTATGTGCTCCGATCTTATGAAGCAGTTTCAGCCAATGCTGTTTGAGACTGTCCACTTTTGCCTTGACTTCAGCAGCAGACGTCTTGTCACATCTCTCAGCAATATCTTCACCAGCCATTCCAACACTCCTCACGAGTCTGAGAACATATGAGTTTAAAATCAATGCCGAGAATGTTCTCAATAAATTACATCTAACAAAGGTTATTTTGGTAATTATGTGCATCTTAAACTGAAATAGCATTATAGGCGTATATATTTTCCAAGTAAAATTTCAGCCTTAAATTTTGCAAACCATACAAAATTGGTAACCTAAGTGTTGACTCACAAATGCTACAGTAGAATAATCGTCTTTACGCTGAATCAGTTTGTATTTGAGAATTCTTTTTAAAAAAATATTGAAAACTATCTAGTTCCTGAAGTAAGATGGATTTCAGAACTCAAAACAGATTTCAGTTACATTTAACATTTAAGGTTTTGAAGAATGTGACAGAAATAATCAAAAAATTGAAGGATGTACAGGTAAGAATAAAAAAAACAGACGGATAAAAGGGAGAGCAAGCCCAGAATCAAGTTGGAAATTAGAATAAATATTAGTAGGCCTACAGGAAAGTATTGATGAATACCAGAAGATACTACAGAAAATAGTCAAATGAAGGCCCAAACAGTGGGAAAAATTGGAGTTGAGTTGATAAATGTAGAAATACATTTCCATCATGCTCATCTTGGTAAACAGAGTATTCTCATAATTATTGCCAAGTTATCTATAAATACATATGTCAATTAGAGACTATTTACCTGATTTTCATCAAAGCATGTTCCTCAATATCCTGATGTTTGCTTTTGTCAGCTGCCAAAGGTTCCATCTCTTTCAGCCAATCAGAGAGCTGGCTGCATTCTGTGTTGAAAAGGTCCATCTCTTCTCTACATTTTATCCATCGACTACAACAAAATACACATGTCACCAGAGAATATATGTGAAATTGAAGGTAGAAAATAACTGCAATGCTTACATTACATTAAAGCTTAACAATCTCAACTGCATTTTGCGCTTTTAAAAAAGATGTCTTGAATTATGTTAAGCAGAAATTTTTGGACTGTTAGCACCTATACATCATCACAGTATATCTCTATACAGTAATATTTTTAACAACTACTTAATTTACCGTAAATTTGCATTTAACACGTTCGCGGCGGCACGTCAAATGGCTGGCGTATCCCCAGTGCGGCGCAGCCTGCAGCGTCAAACAAACCCGATTGCCGCGTGTGACTGGCTTTTCAATTTCGGTCTGACGAATAGTAATTAAGTGCGAGGATGTCCTGCTTTAAGACGAGAGTCGACGTAGTTCGCTAAACACTCACAGATAGCAGCACTGCTTGGAACATAGCCGGTCCATTGGATTTGTATTGCCAAATGGAGGGAAAACGGCGGGATAAAAAGTAGTCAAGTCAAGTCAAGTCAATCATTTATTTTCACATAACGTTTTACAGATCCAGCATAGCTGGGAAACAGGTGAAATGGTCATGGACAATTAAAATACATAAAACTATAATAACTATACACGCTAAGAAATCAAATATATACATCATTTAAAAAATCATCAACTTTGTAATACCCTTTATTAAGCAGCAATTTGGTAACTTCTTTTTTGTATTTTTCAAAAGATTCTAATGATTTAATATTATCAGGCAGTTTATTATACAGTTTTTTCCCTAGGTATTGTGGAAGGGTTTCTAGTGAGGTAAGTCTATGAATGGGCAGTTGTAAATCATTTCGATGTCGTGTTAAATAATTATGGTTATGGTTTTCATTCATAAAATATTCAAGATTTTTTTTAATAAATATTAATGTTTGCAGGATATAAACAGACGGAAGTGTTAATATTTTCAATTCTCTAAATAATAATTTACAGGATTGCCTAGGCTTTGAAAATGTCATAATTCTAAGGATCTTTTTTTGAATTTTGAAAATGGTTTCGGCATTTGAGCAGCTGCCCCAGAACTCTATTCCATACAACATGTTTGACACAAACAAAGCATAATAAACAATCATCCTTGTTCTGAGGTCAGTAACATGCTGCAGGACAGACATCTGGAAACAGACTGTATTTAGTTTATTAGCTAAAACTGATGTGTATTTATCCCAATTTAAAGTGTTTTGTACCTGAATACCTAAAAATTTTGTAGATGACATTTCATTAATAATTTCCCCCTGAAAATTAGTATTTAATTTGATGGTTTCTCTGTCATGAGTAGTTTTAAACCTGACAATTTGAGTTTTAGAACAATTTAGACTCAGACCATTTGCTCTGAACCATTTGTTTAAATCTTCAAAAGTTTGGTTTATCAAATTTTGTAAATTGTTAGGGCTGTTTGATTTTAATATAGCTGTTGTGTCATCCGCGTATAGAACAAGCTTTGAGTTTATGTTAAAAGGCAGGTCGTTAATATAGATTAAAAACAACAAGGGTCCCAATATAGAGCCCTGAGGTACACCACAATAGATCATTTTCCATTTTGAAAAGTTATAGATGTTATCTTTAAAAATAATAGTTCTTTGAAAGCGGTTTGTAAGATAGGATTTCAAAAACTTCAAAGCAATTGGAGAAAAATTGTAAAATTTAAGCTTAGAAAATAAAATATTATGTACAACACAGTCAAAGGCTTTTGACAAGTCACAAAACATTCCAGCAACATTCTGAGACTTATCAATGCTGCAGCCGACCTCCCACAAGAAGTCAGACAGAGCCTGAGTTGTATTACGTCCTGATCTAAAGCCATATTGTTCTTTTACAAAAATGTTATTACTTTCAAGGAAAAAAGAAATTTGCTCAGTAATAATTTTTTCAAAAACTTTAGAAAAGGCTGGTAAGATGGAAATTGGGCGATAGTTATCTGAGTTTGTTTTACTGCCATTTTTATGAAGCGGTTTCACATCAGCATATTTTAACTGATAAGGAAAAATTCCACTTTCAAAAGACTGGTTTATTATCTGACTTAAAGGTCCAGAAACAATGTTGGCAGTTTGCTTTATCAGTTTAACAGGAATTTCGTCCCAACCAGCTGACATTTTGTTTTTAAGAGTAAAAATTACTTTTGCAACCTTCTCTCTGGAAACAGGCTGAAAGTTGAAATGAGGTATGTAATGATTATTGAGATTAGTATCGCTAAGAAATTTGTGGGCATCTAATTCATTGAAGAGAGCAGAGTTAAATTTCGCAATGTTGGCAAATTTATTATTAAAGTGTTCAGCTATTTCTGTGCCATTACCAATTATGCAATTATTGTCTTCAATATTACTGAAACTAGATTTATTTTTAAGGACACCTAGCTCTGAGTTAACAACTGCCCATACAGCTTTACTTTTATCTACAGAGTTCTTAATGTAATTACTGTGAGATAGTTTCTTGGCTGAGTTACAAACAGATTTGAACACCTTTTTATACCTCTTAACATATTGAATAAAATGCTGGTCATTCGAATGTTTAGCTAGCCTGCATAATTCTCTTTTTCTAGCACTTGACACCATAATACCTTGGGTGATCCACTTTTTTGATTTTACATTATTTTTACAATTTGCTTTAATGCTTTTTAAAGGGAAGCAATGTTGAAAATCTAACTTAAATTTTTGCAAGAAATTATCAAAATTTTTTTGGGCATCATTAAGTACAGTGACATTCCATGAGGATTCATAAAGCACTTCTAAAAACCTTAGCGTGTTTCTTTTATTAAATATACGTTTTTTTAAACTATTGCTAGTGTTTAGCTCAGTTTTTAACCCACAATCAGTTAAGATAAACAAGGCTCTATGGTCTGATAATCCTAATTCTATATTGCAATACTTTGAAAGGTCTCTTCCTCTATTAAAAAGTATGTTGTCTATACACGTTTGAGATTTTTGATTAATTCTGGTTGGTTCATCTGAGTAGTACATATAGCCATGACTTATTATAACATTTAAAAAAAAGTTTTTATCTTGCTTGTTTTTACAATCATTTAGAACATCAACGTTGAAATCACCTGCTATATAAACAAATTTGCTTTTGGTTTCCTTTTTTAATAAAACAAAAAACTGTTCTAACTTTTTTAAAAATAATTTAAAATTACTAGCATCTGGTACACGGTATATTGAAATGATGACTGATTTTGAACTTGGTATCTCAATACAACAACCCTCAAATACATTATCTACAAAATATACATTTAAATCATTTCTCTCCTTTACTACTACATCAGACCTAACTAAAATACAGGATCCACCATGTATACCTTCTTTTCTACAGTAAAAAGCAGCTAAACTAAAAGAATTTAAAGCATTAAGAACAGCTATTTGATCAGGTCTTAGCCAATGTTCTACGAGACATATAACATTTATATTAGTGTTCTGTAAAATAACATTAAGATTATTGAGCTTGTTTGGAATCCCGCCTTGAATGTTTAAGAGCATAATACTCTGAAAATTCTTATTTTCTAACTTATCTAGGTTGTTAGGTCGATAAGTGGGTGTTGACAGTTTAAAGTGAGAGGGGACAGGATGGGATTGGAGTCAAGTTGGGATACATTTTCACTACAACTACTATTTACATTACTATTTACATTGAGTGATCTTGTGTCAGAAACAGGTGCATCCCCACTGTCACTTGTGATTTTCTCCAAAGTTGATGCTGTTAACGGTCTTCTATCAGCGACATAAAAGTTCTTCATCAGGTTCCCTAGGTGTTGTCTAATCCTTTCAACAAACTCGACATAAGAAAGACCACATCTTAGAATTCTGGTAGAAGATTCGTTGCTTACTACAATCATGACTTTAGCTTTTGTTTTTTGGTGGAGCTCACATATTTTTGTAACAAAATGTTCTATGGGGATATTGTCTCTGACACAACCCATTGGGGAACAAACAATTAGTTGATGTCCTTCTAGTAATGTGTTCTGTATGAAGCTTTCGAAAGATTCATTGTAGTCTTCAATGTTGGGTTTTGTGTTAAACTTAGGCTTAGTTACTAACCCATAAACAACTGCATTGTGGAATTTTTGGTAAGTCAGAGTTTTATTAACAAAATCTGTCGTCAAAGGTTTGTTGAAATGTTTCCTGAATGCAGTTGCCACACCTGCGCTCATGTGCCTGTCACTGTCAATGTCGGCAGATATGCAGTGGGCAAAAGCTGTATGTTTTAGACCCCCTAACTTGTGAATTACGGTGTTCATGTCCGCCTCCATCACAGTGATCGGTGCATCTTCAGTAGGCATTTTGATGTTAAGTTTACTGTAAGACGACGAACTTAAACAGCAATCCTGGAGTAGTCTTTTAATTTCCTCAGCAATCTTCCTTTTTCCTTTCTTGTTAAAGTGAAGTCCGTGGTTTGTATATAGGTCACGGGGCAAAAGATGTAGTTCTAGAAGTCTGGTGTTTGCTGTTGAGTTCTTCACTTTTTCCGTAAGCTCATAATTAATTTGAGTGATTTTACTGTCTAGTCTAGGTAAGTCATGGCGCATAGGAAGAGAAGCAACAATTAAATTAGCCTTTATAGAACTATTCAGTAAAGTGTGAAAGTCTTTCATGACATTCTTTGCGCCTTTGTGGTCAACATTGTTGGTTCCACCCATGATCAAAATGAAATCATTCTGGTCAAAGTCTTTTGAAATTTCAGAGATATCTCGAATAACATCAGTCAACAATGCCCCAGGTTTTACAACGGCCGTTACATTAAGATTGGTATTCTGCGATAAGAGGTTACTAAGTCCTCGGCCATGACTGTCAGCCAAAATTAGTAGCTTATTAGATTTTTGTAATTTTGTCAAACATGGATTTCTTTTTCTTTTTACAGGCATGATCTTTTTGTTTGTATGGGTCACAGTTTCACCCGATGGGTTATTGTGGGTTACTTTTTCACCTGTGGCACCTGCTTCAGAAAGAACCAAAAACTTGTTGTTACATTCAATAGTAGGGACCTCATTGTTCTCTGGTAGATTTTTGAGATTGCCAGAGGGGGATTTTCGGGGAAATTTACTACCAACCTACACCACAACAAAATACAGTATACCATAGAGCAGTGCTGTGCGAGGTTTCAAGTTTCTAGCTCAAATCCTGGCTTAAAAATAAATCATTTCGTACTGCATTGCAGCTTGGGAGCGGACGCACCCACCAGGATGGCATTAGGGTTTCGTGTGGGAGCGATCGCTCCCATGCCGCCGCGAACGTGTTAATTCAAATTTTTTACCAGGCATCAGCTTTGTTTTTACAAGATTATAAATGGACGTATACTGATATAAAATCCTGTCATCAATCATACTTGTTCAAAATTCAAATACACACATCAAGAGCAATAAAGACAAATATTTAAAGAGAGGCAATAACACAACTCATCCTGTTTGAAATTAACTACTTTTGAGCCTACTGCGTTAAACAGTAAGCATACATCAGAATAAACAATATGACTAAAGAAGTTTTAAGTTTCTTATTACTATAATGTAGCATGGAAACTGATCATTACTTCTGACGTTTCTTGACGCCGTGGTTGAAACGACTCCACTCTTGTTGAAGTTTATCCAAAACTTTCCCTGCTTGTTCTGTTTTTCCCTCACTAGTTGTCTTCTCTGTCAGTAAACTTTCAACAAGTGGTTTCAGTTTTGCTTGCTCATCTTTGACACTCTGCAAAACAATAAACTTTTAACATCTTTAGTTGGGTTGATGTTGAATGAATAAATGAGTATGCTATGTTTCATTGTTGCATGTGGAATCTTTATCTGAGGGATTTCTTTAATAGGGTGAACAATTTTCTGGTTCAAGAGATTTGTCATTTTATATCTTTAAGATAGGTTTACAAACAGCTGGAGCAATGTCACTACAAGGTACAAACGATTGAGAAGAATTGACAAAATAGTTAATTTTCCTAATTTAAAAATTGAGTGGATCCCAAATAAAAATAATTTTTATTTAAAATATACCATAACAAAAAAAAGCGACAATAGGATTTCTTGAATGTATTACGAAACAAAGTATAATCAGTCAGAAAAAAGTTTGGATTAGTAATAAAAATAGAATTTTTTTATCAAAGGAAAAGCAGTTAGGTATCAAAACACAAGTTTCAATGTAATATAGAACGGTGTGTTGAAAAAATATTCGACATAGATATGGTAAAGAGTACTATTAGGTATGAGGAGTAATATTTGCAACCACTGTTGATCAAATTCTCTTTGATCTATTAGTAGTAAGTACACAGTTGTATTGTTGTATTTATTACCTTCAAAGCTGGTTCTTGAGTCATGAAGATGTTGAAGTCTGGTCCTGTCAGAGGAGGAGAAGTCAACTTTCGCAAGGCATTTGTCACCTGTTCTCTCAACTTGTTAGTTCTGGTTACAACGTCAGTTCCGCTAACTTCAACCTTCTGCTGCAAACAAACAAGAACATTGGAAAATAAGCGGATTTAGATTGTCTAGTGAAGCATAGACTATTCTTTTGTGAACTTGAAAATTATTTGTTTAACTGAACTCCACGTCGTTTCAAAATATGAACTCTCTGTCCCATTAAATGTTTACAGTTCCTTTCTTACTCGCAGATTTAAAAAATACCCACAAAAATATGTGTTGTTAGGTTACTGTGAAGCTTCATGTACCTTCAGTATCTTTTGCCAACTCCTGACTTTCCCAGATCAAATAATTGGTTTCTTCACAATGCAAGCTTTTCAAGAATGTGAACACTCTGTCTTAAACAGTTTGAAAAGCATTAGATCTTCCTCGTCGTTTATCATTAGAGGTGGGCATTATTATTAAACCTAGTATGGTAAATAACACTAGTCAACTATTTTATTATTAATAGATTACTGAGAATAATCTATTATTTGTGTAACGTCTTCTGGACTGTTTGATCGAGCGATTGAAATAACGCTGATGTGTCTTACTATTATTGCAAAGTTACAGGATTTCCAATCTCCAGTTATAATAATAGTGTTCTATGATGTGTTTCCCTGACTTTCACAAATCTTATAGAACTTGTATAACTTTATTCTATCAGGCATTGGGCTTACATTCCTACACATAAGACATACAATAGCTATGAAAAGTTATACAATGTCTTCCTTAGTCAAACTGATCTTATTTGCCTAGACAAAGGTGTGCTTCTTTGATATTCTTTGACTTTCAGGAGTTTCAATTTAATTAAAACATAAACCGAAACCCCTATTTTATTAAATTTTACAGCTTCCTTTGACTACCTGCTGTGTAGCCGCAGTATCTTTCCGCAAGTGAGCCATGTAAGTGCGGATCGTCTGCCACTCTCCGGCCACTGACTCCAGTCCACCATGGTCCACCTGCTGAATCTCCAGCTCTGCTGACATCTTCTTCAACTTCTCAATCTCCGACTTGCGAGAACTGATCTCCTCCGCTAACTCCTGGAAATTTGAAAATTGTATTTAATGAAATTGTTAATTTAATTGTCTTCCAGCATAAAATTTCATCCAAAATTAAACTATGTAAGTTATTCACATTTCGTACACCTAACTGGGCTGTTGGGTAAGTTCATAAAACGTGAGAAATTACAGCATTATACTCTCATACAGAAACTCTGACCAATACTAAATATTTATTTAAAAACACAGTAGGCCTACTATGTCTACCTACTTTAGGAATAAATAGATCCTAGATATTAAAGTAGTAAATTCAAACACAACTGAACACTGAAACCTGACTTTATTATATTTTTATAGAAGTAACATGTTTCGGAGATGAGTTTATTTTCAAACTTCATTTATAGTGAATACTTAACTTTTAGTTTACATTATTTGTTTTGTGTTAATATAATTTTTTTTACAGATGATTTTTTTTATGAGACAGGATTTGAAAAGTTTTGTTAGCTATTGATTATCTTTGTAAATTTTTTTACAAAAATGGGGTTTCTCAAACGAATTTGGCTATTTAAAATATGATTTGGATTGTTCAGGTTTTCTTTACATATGAAGTATTCTTCAGTTGAATCCATTCGGTTTTCTTTGCTTAGTATTTTGAGAATTGTCATGTTATTTTTCTAATTTGTATAATTGTGACCTCATAGATTCAACCGAAGAGTCTAGGATGTTGCTATGATACATTTTAGCATCTTGTTCCTATCACCGTGCATGGGAAGCGGAAACACAGAGATTCCTAGAAAGCGGCTGTTGAACCGAACTGCTCTCAAAACAAGGTGTAATAAAATGTATAATAAAATGTACAATAAAACGTATAATAAAGGTATAATAAAACATAATATTTTAAAAACTAGGGCAGGTAATCCAATTATCGGTTAGTTCAAGGTCAGTTCAGAGGGGGTCAACTGTAACATATTTGATAAATCAAGTATGGCAGTAAATAATTGTAGAAAACTGTATAAAACTATTCAGTTACCTAACCTAGTAACACCAACTCAAAGATCTAGCCTGGTGTTTTACAAACATTCTACATGGTTTACCTTGATTCCTCTCTCGTCATTGTTTGCTCGCTCCAGTCTGTTGGAGACGTCACTCAACCATTTGACCGTGTTCTTGGAGAGATCAACGTAATCTACCAACAGCTTCTCTGCTTGCTGTGCCTGCACTTTCCTCACCTGTGAAAAAAACATTTACACACAAATTCATGCCAATAAGTTCAAAATTATAAGATGATGTATAGTTTATAGATGCTTGACATTGGATGCATTACTTACATTCGATGTATTTTTTAAAAGAAATTCTACAATAGTTTAGTCAAACGTTATTAGTTATTAGTTACTTAGGTTTACATGTAGGAGTACATCATAGTCAATGCAAACCTTGTACCTAGGTGTGTCAGCCACATATGGGCTTTTTACATTCTCAGCTTGTATGTCAGAGCTTGTCAAACTGAGTTGCTTAATGGACTGCAGCAGTCGGTCTTCAACTCATAATTCTATTTTCAAGACACATATGCAACTTTTGTATCTTTTGTTTTCAGTGGTGTTGGTAGAGAAATCTCCTTCTAGCGTAGAAAAGAAAGTATTTTTCCTACTATAAGGCCTTACCGTCATTTCTATAGCCTATTTTCCTATGTAATTTTGAATATTAGCTAGATCACCATATCTGAATGGTTGACAATTCCGCTAAAAGTATTTTTTTAAGATGTAACCACAACAAGATGGTAATTCTGAATCGCCTACCTCAGTCTCCGACATGACCTGGGCCCACTTTGCCCGCAGTCTGTCCTGTGCTCCGGTGCGCAGGGAGATGGCTCGCTCTGGCTGTGTGGTGTGTACTGACAACACCAGACCATCACCTCGGCTGATCAGTGTGGCGGCGTCCGGCGCAAGACAGCTCAGCTCACGCTCCAACACCTGCGTCAGCAGATAGTCTATAGTCGCTTACTACAAGCGTCCCCATACATACTCGTCTCATGCATTAAGCGACAGGTATTAGAAACAACAAACAACAAAGTATTTTTTAATCTTCCCCATTCCAGAATCAACTTATTAATATAAGACCACACATAGGTTAATGTTGCCATTAGGTCAACTGCTACATCTTGATCCCTACAGATATCTTTAAAACAGTATAACCATTTTGAATAACTGTTTTCAAGATAAAAAGTAGATTCTAGTAGACATGTCACATGACTAGCTTCTCTAAAAGGGTGTAAGGTGACTCTTAAATCGTAGACCTAAAGATATCTTGAAAACGGTAAAACACGTTTTAACTATGACTGCACCACTGAGAGGACAATTATGTGATATTTGACATCAAACCATTTAAGGTGACATCTTAGACCTAAAGATATCTTAAAAACAATACAAAACTTTTGACCTTTTGATTGGACCAATTTGGGGACGGTTCAATGATAATTTCAATTTGACATGTGGCATGACAAGCTTCTAATTAAAATGGCAACTCCTATATCTTAGTCCTACGCACACCTTTAAAACGGTAAGGTCCGATTTAGACCTCAGGAAACTCTTGAATTATAACTTACTACTTAAGTTAGAGCACAATAAATTCTGTGATTTAAAAAAAATGTAAATTGTCAAAAAAGCATTGGGGGAATCAACTATATACACAGCCTATATCAATCTTTATAGTAACTTAAATGGTCATTGTCATTACTTATTAGGGTCTGTTCATGAGATGTTCAAACATGCAGGAACCTATTATACTCAAAATCCTTTTTATTTACCTCAAGCCGTTTTCCAGGATCGGCCTCGCTGTTGATGCCCCTGACTGTCACCAACATCGTGTCCATCCTCTCCAACATCTCCTGAGCTGCCTCCTCAAACTCTTCTATCTCTTTGTCGAGGGGAATCCGAGGGATGTCCTCGGACTTGTCTTGTCTCATTTCGAGGTCTTCTACCTCATCTTCCCGGCCGGCTGTTGTCAACGATATGTTTGTGTGGTATATGTTGCCTTGCTTGTTTTCCTATATGGACGTTAAAACAATTAAAAAATATTTATATAGGTTCTTAAATTTGTTAATAAATAAAGAATTACAGTAAATATTTTAAACTCATATCTAATATTTTAATAAATCTTTCCCCATTCAATTACAGTATTAACATCTTGACATATTTAAGCTTTTTTACATTTTACTTGAGGATAGTTTCCTAGTTTGATTTTCTAAACATAATAAATCAAGTTAAAATTTAAAATGTGCCCTATTTACACTAAACGTTTTTTTAATGTAATACCCAAGATTTACGTAAATAAGACAATACCTAAACTAATTACAAAAAAATAGTTATATCACTGTACGATAAATTTAATAATAATGATGTTCAGTAGTGACATAGTGATTCAATATTTCTAGAAGTTATACTGTAGCAAAAAATATAGTTTTTACACTACTTGCAACTACTCATTAATAGCACTGACAGTTATGCTACATTCATCTCCAGTAGAGTTACATAAAAAGTTTACATAACATCAAAACTGATAAATAAATTTTCAAAGTTATCATATTAGAAATAAACTCACCTAAAATAATCACATTGCACATACCTACAGTATTTCAATGTTAAAAACACTGAAATGTGTCTGCTACAACAATTAACCTACAAAACCACACACAGCTGTTTTTACTGGTGATATCAGCTGTAAGAATGCTGTTGGTAAACAAGAGTAGCCAGGATAGAGGATTTGGCAATTAGCCAAGGCTCAGAGGCCTCCGTGACCTGGTCACTCTTATATAACTGGATATGTAAATCACCGTGTTCATATGCATACTGTTGTAGCTTGGAAACTCTCCTTGCTGTATTTATATTGTTAAGTACTGCCCACAGTTATACTATACTGATATCATAAATAGTAAGATTGTACTGATTTAAATGGAGAAGAGTACAGTATACTCTAATGCGTAGAGAGTACGTCTAAGAAACTTATCCTTTTTGTCTTAATACATGTATCTAAAGTGTGAGGTTGGGCATTTTTGAATAGCTAAAGATATTACCGATTGGTGGAATTGAACATGAGCCTCCAAGAAGTCCCTGGCACTAGCCACAAGACCAGCTGTGGAGTTTGCTATTTGATACAATTGACTTTTGATTCAGTTTAATCCATGCTAATACTATCCAAAAATCTATTTTTAATTTGTTTGGTTTATTAATTTTCAAAAGACATAAAGTGAAGTGTCATCACAAATGTAAAACAAAATACCTGTTGTAATCAAGTTGTCTGCTGGATTTGCACTACCTATTTAAATTGTGTACTACTGCAATATTGTTGTGGCTACATAAGGTGTTTTCAGTTTTCACAATTTCATCAAACTATCCTACTTTGTATAAATACTTCTATATTTACACATATATAATTACGTACAAGGGATATTATAAACCAACCTTTACAGGAGAAAGTTCCACATCATTGGAAACTTCCTGAAACTCATTGTCGGAGCTAGAAGTGTCGTCTTCAAAATCTACATGACCTTCGTCTTCAGAGAAGACGATAGCGTCGTCTGTTTCTTTATCACTTCCGTAGAAGCTGTCATTGTCGTCAACAACAGGCACAGTCAAGCCCTTCTCTGCAGTCATGAAGTTACCGATGATTTGATATGTTTTTGACACTTCCACTTCTTTTCTGAACGTAACTTCTTTTGAACTTTCAATCGCTCTGTCTTTTGGGATCTCCCAAGTTTTCACAGTCGCTTGCTCAACCCGGTTGACTTTGTCAGTCATTTGTAAGCACAATGGCGAGGCCCGGTTTTCTGACTGTTCGTAAGGAGTTGGCGGAGGAGCCTGTGCGGATTCTATGTTGTAAGTGAACACAGGACTAGTAGAGTTTTCTTTGTCTATTGATTCTCTAAGAGAATCGCCAGCAGCGTCCAGCAAAGCTGTTGTCTTAACGTCTCTTCCTTCATCTCCAACAGAATCATCAAAAACATTATCTGCCAATTCCTTTGCTCCTGGAGTTTGAACTGTCTCACCACCAGATTCTCTGAGCGTCCGTAAAGCTTCATCAGAAGCCATCTTTTGTCTCTTCGCCAAAATCTCACCAGGGGCAAGACATGTTTTTCTCTGTTTGTGACTTCCGTCGGTTTTCCTCGCTGTGACAGGGGACGGCCACCGGTCCTCAGGGTCAGTGTCAGGTGCCGAAGAGTCAGCCTCTGTCTCAGTGTCTTCGATGATCTCCACAATCTCTACAGTCTGGGGTTCCAAGTGGTCGGACTTCTCAGGCATTGTCGTCACATGTTCAGTTGATGAAACCGTCGATTTAGGTATTTCCTTAGCTTTCACCTCAACCACTTTGCAAGGGTTGTCTTCCACCACATTGGTTGGACTCTGAGGAGCTAAAATAGTAGTACGAGAAACCTGGGAGAAGAGAGCACTGTCTTTAGCTAGATGGAAAGTATCGTTTTCGTACTCCTCCTCGTCTTCAGGTTCTTCTATTATAACATGGGATGTTTCAACATTGTCTACATTCTCGTACACACTCCTCCGTTTGTTTTCACTACTTACAACAAAACTACCAGGTTCTGTAAGCTTGCTATTATTGGGAATTTCCATTTCTAATTTTGACACAAAAATCTTGGTCGATGTATCATTTTTCAAGATTGACTTCACCTGTGTCTCTCCTTCTAAGATTTTCCCTTTAGGTGAGCTTTCCTTGTTTTCATCTGGTGTAACAGTTTTTGTCACTTGTGGAACTTCGGTTTTCTGGATTTGACTATCAGAAACATTAGATCCAGATTCACTTGCGAGAGTTGGTGACGTTTCAGAAATCTCACTGGGCTCTTTTATTCTCACAGTTTTTGTCGGTTTACTGGGCTTCAATATAGATTTAGAGGCCTTTGTGAAGCCCTGAAATCAGAGGTGAACAATCCAACATGATTTGTCTGTCAATGAAAGATGGCCTTCTATATTTAAGTGCAAAAGACAGTGGTCAAGTAAACTTCTGAAGCACATTCACAAGCTATGACAATGAACCCGACACCAAAGCAGTTATTTTCCAAGTGTTTGCTTCCCAACAATACTTCCACTACAACACTTGAAGACCTCTTCATGTTTTAGTTATTAGTTACAATTACATAAACTGTTGAATTGCTAGTTGTAAGTTAAGTATTGATTCAGGCAGTGCAACAGAAGAGCTTTTGCGTAGGTGTCCATCAGTGGAAAAGTAAGCGTCCATTACCTTCTTAAAACCATTATACTAACTAATTTCACAACATTTTTTAAAGTTGGTGAAGCAAGTTACACAAGATGACCAGAGAAAGACCTCCGAACATTGACATAAGTCTAGTAACATTTGAGAAATTACAACTCCAAATGCACTGTTATTAATTTGTGTAAAAAGTGCAAAGTCCATTTACTAAAAGTGCTAAAGCAAAACACATGAAATCAAGATGAAAATGTGAAAACTGAAACCATCACCACCAATGAGCATGATATTTAAAACAAATATATCCAAATCAAACAAACAACACACAGATCAAAATTTAAATTTTACAATAATAACAAACATATTTTGAAACATAAGTTTTAGTATTGACTATTGGAAGTTTGTATATTCGACAGAAATTAGTATTTTAGATCAGCACAATCTATCATAAGCTACAACGATTTTGATTGAAAAACCGGCGACAACTTTTACATGGAGATGGAATGTCTAGTTGTATCATTGGTCAAAGATTTTAGCTAGAAAAAATATTGAAAATCTAAACATTTCTTAAACATTGATTTCAATTTAAATATTTTTCCTGAAACATTTATTTGTTGTTTAAATTAACTGTAACACTTTTGTATCTGTCATTATTAAGAAAACATTTTTTACATTTTTTATCTCACAGAAATATTTTCAAACTTTCAAACGCAAATACTAAATCCAAATATTATTGTAATAGCATTCTAAACATGCGAAGAAAGGAATTAATTTTTCAAATCATGATTAGAGTTATTGTTTTTGGGGTTTATCACAGTGTTAGTAAAACCATGCTGTGTGCAAGATCTAAAATATGTCAGTTTTAAAATTTCATGCATTTTTGTTCAACGTAATATCTTTATGTCTTATAATTGAAAATGAGCCACAAAACAAAATAAGTTGAGTTTCTTTTACAAATTATTAAATACAGGCATTCTTTTACTATAAAACTCTAGTTTTGCAACACTATAATTTCTTGGGATGATAATAAATCAACATTGACATACTTTTTTCTCAATTTCTTTTGCCTTAACAAATTATTTTTATGAAATTGATTTTTCCATAAAAAAATTTATTTTCAATTATACTAGCGTACTTCTAAAAGTGTTTCAAAGTGTTAATTTATTTGTGACTAAAATTTGTACTTTTGCTCTGTTTATTTTAAGTAAAATCTGGTAAAACAAATTTAGTAAGAACTCATTTACTTATGTCAATTACAACTGTATTATCTTACTCAACCCCAAAAAAATAAAGATTTTTAACCGAGAATAATAATTTTAACAGTCAAGAGGAAAGGTTATCCCTTGACAGATTATAGTGTTTCGGGAGCTAAATATATAATTGTTTGATAATGAAATCCACCATAAAATATTATCATATGGCTTTTATATCAAATCAGAATATATAGTAAATTGTCACTAACAAAAAACTTTTTTTGTAATAAAAACCTTGTACTGCGGTCAATAAATTATACCAGACAATTTGCTAAGCTCTGGCAGGTTGAGTGATTTTGAGTCCATAGATACAAACACTTTCGCCCTGACACAGTCTCTCTGACTGCCTCATAAAAAATATTTTTTCCAAATCCTAATTATTTATAATTACTGTGGTTTAACAGTTTAAAATATCATGTCAAATCATGTCAAAACTTAAAACTTCATCTCACAGTACATCACAATCTATCACATACCTGTAGTTGGGTCTGAGCCTGCAGCAGTTTGTCCCGGGTCCGCTCCCACTTGCGTACACAGTCACTGACCCTGTCCTTCAACACCTCCAGATACACTGGGTCACACAGGGTAGAGAACGCCCTGTAGTTGCTCTTGATCTGGTCCTTGCGTTCTCTCCACCTCTCACACTCTGTCAGTGTGTCCTGAGACAACGTAACAGTGAGAATCAGAACAGTGAGTTGCACACACAGTCACTGACCCTGTCCTTCAACACCTCCAGATACACTGGGTCACACAGGGTAGAGAACGCCCTGTAGTTGCTCTTGATCTGGTCCTTGCGTTCTCTCCACCTCTCACACTCTGTCAGTGTGTCCTGAGACAACGTAACAGTGAGAATCAGAACAATGAGTTGCACACACAATCACTGACCCTGTCCTTCAACACCTCCAGATACACCGGGTCACACAGGGTAGAGAACGCCCTGTAGTTGCTCTTGATCTGGTCCTTGCGTTCTCTCCACCTCTCACACTCTGTCAGAGTGTCCTGAGACAATAATGAAAATAGCTAAATTTTTTTAAAGATAAATATCCGAAAACAAAACAAAAAGACTATAAAATTAGTTTTTGTGAGAATGAATAGGGTTGACTTTTACTTTTAGTTTGGGACGGGATGGGATGGAATTTTCATTTCCTTTCCGATTTTTGGAACAAGACATGATTTTTTCCTCGGGCAAAGAGAGTTTGTTTTGAAAAGCTAAATAAATCAAATCAATTAGCAGTCTATACGGTACTGTTTTAGGAAAGCTAATAATGGGTAAAAATAGACAGGTAACAGGAACTTGTAACTAAAAATAAAAATGTATTGATTCTTCCCTCACCTTAACAAAGCTGATCTCTGCCTGGATGTCCCGGTGGTTGGCCGGAGTAGCTTCCACCTGGTCCAGCTCCAGGTCTACTCCCTCCGCCCAGCTGGTCAGGGCAGGGATGTCTGTCTGTAGTGAACGTGACAGCTCCAGGGCTGTGGTCAAACTGGACATGGCTTCAGTCACTTGTAGACCCAGCTGAGAACCAGAAAATTGTTGAATTAGGTTACAGTGAATATACAAGTATAATTAAAAAATAAAAGTATTTTTCATATGCTCATTCTTTATCACTGGGAGTTGTAGACTCCATGTTACATACCTTGTTGTACAATTCCTTGAGAGTGTCGAGACGTCCAGTGTAGTGTTGAGGAACAGACTTCTCCTCCACTAGCTTCCTGCCGCACTTGATCACACTCTCTACTTCAGACTTGATCTCACTCAACGTCTGGTAGAAGCGCTGCAAAGACAAAATGTAAGTCTCAATGATTGAAATATTATGTTGTTACTTAATGTTAGATGGTGTTTTACTAGTGGTACATTTAAACCTAATCAAATGGAAATGTTTTATTTTTCTAGAAGGCATTGTCAGAATTTATCATGGCTATAAAGTCCTTGAAACACCAAGCCTTTGAGACTTGTATGGGAATACAACGGTTGAGCAATATAACTATGACTAATGACAGTTTGCAAATTAAATATTTATTTTGTTTAAGTTTAGATACAAAACCAAACATTGTAACAATGACTAAGAACGTAAGTACCAAGATGTCAACAGATAAATCCCTTAAGCCATTAAATTATTCCTATAAACTTCGATTCATTTGATAATGTTCGTTGTCCAGCATTTTAAAACCTCAAGACAAAAATTTACCTTGTCCAACAAACTGTTATTACACTGCCACACCAAAAGTATGGGTACAATGCAAGCACTTACATTATAAAATTTAAAACTTTACCCCACATTTCAAATTGTCTTCCTCTCGTACACCAAACTTAATTTCCTTTCCTTGTAGTCTTGCAAGACTATGTTTGATAACTCAGTTTCTGTTTACCTTGCAATGGTTCAGTTGGCCCTGAATGCTCTCTGGATCCTCAGAGGCTAGCTCTAGTAGGCAAGTGGCTTCCTCGATCCCCCGCAACTCTCTCATGGCTCGGTTCAGACGAGGCTCTAGGTTGCTCGGTGATCGAAAACGTTCAAACTTCTCGGCTATATCATTGAACCGTTCCTAAAAAAACCAATATGTGATTCCTACAGATACTTATAATACAAAAGGGTACGTTTATTAAAACCTACTATTCTGAAAATCTGCCTAATCCAACAGGACTCAAGCAAAAATAAAACTATGTTAAAATTAATATGGCAAGTAGGGAGGAATTTATATACAGCTAACTTACTTAAAGACCACTTACTCTATTACTCTTCTTGGACTTACTCTCTGTAGTGTATTCCAACCTAGGTTGGGCGTTAGTGTATTGTTAAGTTTTTTCACCTGGGGACGGGATCAGATTCCGGGTCAGATTCCAGATCCCGAAACGTTGTGTATTGTTTTATACCATCGTGATAGAAAATGTCCGCAATAAGCCTTTGAACAACATTACTTAAAGAATTAGTTACAGACATAGGTGGCACACAATATATCCAGTACTAACATTTTTATAATAAGGAGTATCTGATGATCTAATTAGCAGTGTTATGTCCTACCTGTAGTAAAACCATCTGTTCCTGCAGTCTGGCCGCAGCCTCGTGCTTCCCTGCAGCTCTGTAACTGCGGACTTGCTCCTCCATCTGCTGCAGAGTACGAGCTTGCGTCTCAAACTCCTCAACCAGTCTCTGTGAATGTCGCAAAACAACATACAGTCACCAGTGAAATCGCAAAACACTGTCATCTAATGGGAATTAAAACTGTTCATGATTTTATTATTAAATGAGTGTTGATAAAATGATAAAATACTACTTGATTCAGTAAGATGTCAAGGTATTGACGAGCAGCGGAAATCACAGCAGAATGTCAGTAGGTAAACTATTATGAATGTTATTGGATAAGATTTAAAAATCAAAATTGGTTATTTAGATTTTTTTTCACTGGTTATTGATTTAGACTTAAAAATTACTTAATTGAGTTATGTTAATGTTTGGTCATGTAAACTCTCAACAGAAATATTAGTGTTTCTAATACAATGATGCATTTTATATTTATTGTTGTGTTTGGTATACTTTTGACTAAACAGTAATTTTGTTATAGAATACAGCACTCTGTTCATAAAACATCTTGTTATTATTTTTTAATGGAATTAATTAATTGTATGCCAATCTACTTTATTGAGAAAATAGCCAAGTCTTAACCAGACAAAGCATTACTGAAACAATGTTTAATTTATACAGTTAAGAACTATCATGCAGATGGAATTATGAACACAATGAAATAGAACACAGAAGAAAGAACCCATCTGTACAAAACAGTATGACAAGAGATCTTACCTTAAAACACAGACATTTTTAGTCAATGCACACAAAGCTTGATTACATACATAAGAACTTATAAAGGAGTGATTGAAATCGTTGGACTCGTAGGATTTGTAATGAGATAGAAATTTATAACTATAGAATCAAATAAAATTCAATTACAAAAAAGGTCATAGGAGGAGAAAATAAAAATACTAAAAACAGAAACTGTACGGTAAGAAGAAAAATACATATTGAACACATACATGTAAAACAATAATTTAAAACGTTCAATATGAATTTAGTAAAGACTAAACTAAATTCGTCCAAATTACTTTCAATCAAATCACTCGTATAGAACTTGAAACTTAAAATGAACCAAAAATGTCACCTGAACGTCGTCTGGCAAATCGTGAGCGGTGAGATCGTTGTCGATCCGTTCTGTTAGTTGTGCTTCGACATCGTTCAGCCACTCTTGGAACAGCACGATTTGGCCTTCCAGCTGTTGTGCTTCGACCACACAGCCCTCAAGTAACACGGTTCGATCCCTAGCCTAGAAACGCAACGGAACAGCTCGCAGAAGGAAGCGTGACCACTACAGCCAATAAGACTAACAAGCTTATGGCAACAATGAGTCATGCGTGTTTATCAAATGTTGTAAAAGATAACCACTATTAGAGGATGATTAATAGATTAACGATTTTAATGGTATTAAATGGTATTGTTGAGTGACACATATATTCTAGTTTCTACCTATTAGCCACCTAAAACCCAATGTCAACTATTTTGTTTAGTTTTGGGTTAGAAACTGTGTTTTGTATTATTTTGTTAAATAATCCATTAAAATGTCAATTATTTTCTTTAAATGAAGATCGTTTAGAGAAACACCGTTTTTTTTTTGTGTTTTACAAATAAGTCATACAAATTATTATAGGGTTAGTCAATTTTATTTCACTGGTTTTATATAAAAACTTAAATTGAAAGTTAATTCAATAGCCAAAACATTGCTTATGGCAAAAACTGAAGGGAAAATAGATCAACTTCATTATATTTCTAGAATATTCAACCTGTTTGGTGTATATTAAAAAAATCAAACAGTTTAGTTTTAGACATTATCTTTTTGACATTACTATATTTTTTCTTGGTTTGATTGAAATATGATGTAAATTGGAATGGCTGTAACTAAAGTTTATCTACATTGATGGCCTAAAATGTCAGTAGTGTTAAGAAATTGTAGTAGCCATTTTAAAGTATCATATTAACTTAAGACTTTCTATTGCAAATTATGGTTTAACGTAGCATTCCTAGCCTCATTGAACTTGCTTTTTTTAACACTTGGAGATTTGGGCGATAGCACTCAATAATCTTGATACTTAATACTAAAGTTAGCACTATTCTACTATAGGGGATATTCGTACCTTATTTCCAACTTTAATTCAGTCTATATTTTAAACAAACAAATTAAATACCACCCAAAGCTGTGACATATCTAACTATCAAAACAATACCACAGTAATGAATGAAAGTTACCAAAATGTTATCAGAAATAGAAAATTTAGTAAATTCATGCACCAAAAACGACAATATATGCCATCATGCCACATGTCGATAAAAGCCATTTATAAAGCATCATGCAACTATTTGCACAATGATTTAAAATTATGAACAAATATATAAATGGTAACAGCATGGTCTTAGGCTCATCGCAACTTTCAAGCCTGATAAAAGAGCTCACCATCGAGTTTCCGATTATATTTTCTAAGAGGACTACTTGGCTCTGAAATGTCAATGAAAATGTATTTGAAACTAAATAATCTAAGATATGTGTTGTTAAAGATACAGTTATGTACATTTGAGGACACTATGTACTGTTTAATATTAACTGTTGCAACTTAAACTTCACCTATATGGTCCAAAAATTAATTTTTACTTTAGTTTATACACATAAAAATTGTTATGTATTGCCAAAGAGATCAATGCATGGTACATAAAGAAAAATTAATTTAAACTAAACTCGAACCCATATCTGCGTGTTAAGAGTTTTATTAACTTGTGTTTTCCAATGTTTGTCCTACAATCAATTTTTAACTAGAAATGCTAACAAATTTATGTAAGAGTAAGAACAGCTTGTTTTGCTAGTGCACTGAAACCACAAATTTAATCATGCATGTGAGTTCACACATAAAGCTCTAAAATCAACTTGTATTTTAAGAAAATTTTTCTTTGTCCAATTTATTATTAGATAAACTTTCATATTTACTGAAAAATACAAAACCTATCTATTAAAAAAAAAAAATTATTTTACGGTTTGAGGTCAAGTATATAACATTATTCATAAGGGCCTAGGTTTCAAAGATCTATTTTACGATAGCAGACTAACCTGAACGATAAAAAGTCTAATATGGCACGAAAAACACATTTACCTACATAAAAATTAGAATACAACCTACAACCTTCAAACCTTAATTGGTTGAGAATGCTGATTGAGACAATCAAAAACATTTAATTCTTGTGTAAAATATCAAATGTCTGTGTTTTGTTGGGCTAGATTGGACTCATTGCTCAGGTGAGCCATCCTAACAAAAATTCCTAAAAGTTAACTACTTATATAAACTATTCCAAATTAATTCCACACATCCCCACCTCCCCTCCACACACACACAGTCGTACCTGCTGGCTCAGCTGACTCCACCGGGTAGTGATGGCTTCCACGTCAGCCTTCACGCTCTGTGACATCATCTTCTCGCTGATCAGAGACCGTCCGAGCTCCTGCAGACGAGACAACCTGGAATCCGGGTGGTTGCGGATGTAGTTCTCCAAGTCCTGCAAGCATAGAAAAAATAACTTTTAGCATTCACTTCCATATTGAAATTGTTTTTGGTTAACCTAACCTAACCAATTTAGTTGTGGTCGGTATAATACCTGAATTGGCAAGTACCTGTTTTTGTCTTAAATTCATTTTTTTTGTTTTATACCTTATAAATTATAATTGTGAAATAAAATTGAAATCTTGGATTTTACTTTATTCGTCCTGAAATGCTAAATTTATAAATGCTTATTATTTACTAAAAGAATATACGTGACGGTAACTGTGGTATAAACGTAATTTACTACTTAACACAGGACATCAACTCTTACATCAAGCTCTTCTGAGATTTCTTCAGCATCCGCCGCAGACTTAGGAGATTTCTTCAACCGTTTCTCAAGTTTGTCCAACCAATCCATCTCTTGGGCAACAAGTGCTGAAAAAAGAATGTTTACTGAAGTATTTTAATGCTGGAGAGAAAGTCTATTACAGAATAAATATGTTATTCAAGCTTAAAAATAGGTTAACTGTTGTCCAATTTTTTTATAAACTTGTCTTTGTAAAATCTGAAGCATTAATGGCAAAACTACACAAAAGCATTTAACAACAAGACTGACTTGCAACTGCAAAAAATTATGAAAACTCTCTCACAACTTACTAAAACAAACGAGAAACAATAGTGTGAATTTCAATAGTGTGTATTAGGAACAATTCCAATTTTTAAAATTTCAATCTATACATCACACATAGAAATTCAAAGTCATTTATTTACCTCTGAATTCCCCATACTGATGGTTGGCATCCTGCAAGAACTTGTACTTCTTTGATACCACATCATTGATTTCCATCCATTTGGAGTCGATTTCTTTAACCTTGTTCTTTAACTCTTCAACTCCTTCTCCTTGATGGTTGCTGATCAGTTCATTTGCTGAAACAAATTTTATTGAACTTAAATTAAATTTAATTATTGAATAATGATTTTGCTTTATGAGTTGTTTTACAAGACTTTCATGCATACATGATACTCCATACACACCATAACACTCTTAACCACATAGAAGTAAGGAAACATGCTCATGGGATGACCGTGCCCTTTCAGCTCTAGTATGTTGTGCCAGAAATATCCTTGTGACGAGCACGAAAGGGCCTGAGCGGTGAGCTCTATGCGGAAATTCAGGTTTTCCTCCACCTAAAGTGTTGTAGTACATGAAGACAAGGGAGCTGAGTTGCACTTTGCCCTGAACACCTTTAACTAATTCTAGACAGCACTTAAGTGTACCATTGAATTTTTTCTCTGCGGCTCAACCTATTATCACCGTAAATAGTAATTTTAATGTATGGTGGAAGTTATTTTTCACCCAGGTAGCACTGCTTCCTTATACATATATATGGTTTAAAGAAATAAAAATGCCAGGTCAAAAATAACTAATGGTTCTTGGCCAGTTTCGGCTCAGACTTGCACCCAACAATGGTTAAGATTTTCTATTCTTTAATCTTTTTAGCAGTCCTACCTTGTTTCATGACAGAGTTGAAATCCTTTGTTTTCTTCTCAACACTTTCTTTCAATGACTGGAATCTTCCTTTCATTTTGGAAAGATCTGAAGGTACCTGGATGCTAGATAAATCGGTGTTTGCTTTCTGTTCAGTGGTGGACAGCCAGGCTGCTAATTCATTCAAACCATTTGATACCTAGAACAATTAATATTTTATGAAAGAAATATATCAAGGAGACTGAAAATGATAGAAGATTACTTTTTAAAATATTTAACTACTACTAGGACTGGATTAAGATAAAGTATACACAAAAATTCATCCAATAAAAAAATTCAAAGTAGTAGTTAGCACACAACCAGTTCACAATAGATTTACCTGGATATGGAACCCCTCAAGCTTCTATAAGCAAAGTTTGCTCTCCTCTTGTCTTAAGTAATTTAATAGTACAGAGTACTGTTTTCCTAGATCCGGAGCAGACCGCCACTAAGGAGAACCCACCTTAAGATGGAACTAGAACAATCTACTACATTCTTCTTGAACTCTTTTCTAATGCAAGTAAGTTAGGTATAAATTTCAAGACGAAGTGTACTCTGAAGCCAAGAGCTTTTTCTGCAAAAAAACAAGCACTTCTACAAAATTTACGATAAACTAACCTGGTTATACTTTGTTATAACATTCTTCACACCATCACGACGATCCACTGCTTGTTTCTTGATCACAGAATCCCATTTACTGACTAAAGTTTTGATACTTTCGTTAATTTCTTTTGCGAATGTTGTCTCTGCATTAGATCCTAGCAACTCTTCACCGCCCTTTCTGATGTTTTGGATGCTCGGGTCGAGTTTTGCAGCTTCTTCTATGAGATCCTACGAAATGAAAACAATTAAAATGGTAACTCGAGAGATCAATGCAAATTTGACAAGAGTAAAAAAAAAAATAATTTCCTTTGAAGAACATTGAGGATTTGTTCCAGACTAACCTGTGATCTCTGTAGGTGAGACTGCAAGGCCGAGAGAGGCAAATTAGCTACTTTCTCATGTGCTAAGAAATCCTCCGCCTGCTGGAGCCAAGCTTCTACATTCTGCACTTCATCCTTCAGCTGTTGGATTTTCCCAATGTCTACAAAAAATCAAACCATAAATTAAAGACTGTAGCAATAATTTACCTAAAAAGCTACATTAAACCGTAAGTACTCTACAGAGAAAATTTGTCTTCGAGCTCAGAACGAGAGGGTTCTTAGTGTTTGTTGTATAAGGACAAAACAAGAGGGGTGAATATAAAAACACAAGACCAAGATTTGAACCTATCTCATTAAAAACATCAAAGCCACTAACATTTCTGTTTAGTAAATCTTTTTACATATTTTGTAATTACGTATAGGCATTACTTTAAAAAGATTTGTTTTAGCGGTGCATAAAATACAAGTTGTAACTATTAATATGGTTGGATAAACATGTAATCTACCACGTTACTCTGCCCTTACATTACCTTAAACCTTACACTTAACTTTCTCAAAGCCTGTACAGGTCTTTCAGCAATAAAGAGTTTTTATTTGTTTTGGTGGACAGACACAGAGTTAAATTAAATTAATTGAATGGAGTTAGTTTCGTTACTGACCAGTTTGCAGTTTGGTCCTGCGCTCCACCAGTATACGAGGTATATCAGCCCAGCGAGTGTGAAGGTCCTGCAACTCCTCTCTGAGTCGCTCACTTGGAGCTCGCATCATCAACTCCTCACCTGCAGCCTTCACCTGGTCATAGCCCTCCTGCTGGGCTGAGATGTTCTTTTCCAACTCCTACAGCAAGTAAACATAACTTTTCAGTATATCAGTTTATTTGTGGGAAATATATGAAAAAACTTACAAAACCTTCTATCAGTTCAATAGTCTACATTTAATCCCATCACAATCTGTATGGGATATTCTCCTAACCTACCTCAAACCACACTGATGAATTAAAGGCTGCCTACATCGCCAAAATCACAGTGTAATTTTTACGACCACATTTGAACTCCTTCCAACTGTTATACACACTTTCTACGTCCAAACACTTTACTTCATTCACGTCCCATTATCAGGCAATGGAATTGAATGTTGGTTGATGTCTCAAAATTTCTTTGTCTTAAGGGTAGGATAGTAGTGGATGAAGTAAGAAACACAGAATTTGTCTTTGGGAGCTCATTAAGACCTTAATTTACAGACACACCTCGTAATTAGAGAGAGGGGCATGTGGGCAGCATTTTTCCTCAAGCACAGGGTTGAAAAGAGTACTTTGCAACACAACATTACCTGAAACTTGACAAGTTGTTCCTCCATGGACTGTGGGTAGGTGAGCACAACATGTTCTGACAACAGTATCCCCTCCACATCATCCATCCACCTGGTCAGGTTAGTCTTGGCTTCCGTGTACTTGGCCTGTGGGCTCGGCTCACTCAACTCTTGCTCTAGAGCCACCAGCCTGTAAGACAGAACAAAGTGTCACTTCCAAGGTATAGACTACTGGGATGTAATGGTCTACGATTTGAATGTGTGAATACGATCATTGGCTACAGAGACTAAGTATGCTTTCCAAATCTGCCATTCTCTTATTTATGTTAAAAATATCTGCTAAGATAGCATTCAAAACAATTTGCAAACTGTAGTAAGTTTTTAGGGTGTTCAAGATGGAAATTTTTAGAAAATTTGTTTACTTGTTCCTTGCGGAGGAGATTTTGACGCAAGAATCTTCCAAATAATCTTAATGTTATAAATCTGTAACGTTTTCACAAAAGCCAAAAACTTACAATACCGGTAATGCTGCAAGATGATCATTATGTTGCCATAAACACTTCCAAAAGTCATTGTTCTATTCATCTATTTTAAAGTGCTCATAATACAAGTGTACTCTTTACAAAATATTGTATATTGGTGTGTCGTGGACCCTGTATGATTTACAAATTTACTGCTAATGATTAACAAAGTATAAAATATTAGGAAAATAACATAAATAAATACATTCCAAAATTGAAAATTTACTCAACGTTCCTAGAAAGTGTTTGGTGTATTATATAAATAAAACATTCATAGAAGAGTTCTCCCTTTAAAGGTTGATAGGGACCGAGGATTTAGCATTAAAAGGATTAACATCACTTACCTGTTGTAGACAGCACTGATGTCTGAGCTTAGACTTTCAACCTTCTCCTGGATAGTCTTTGATTCCTCCGAGTCAGGATAACGGGAACAGAAATTTGTTGTCTTTTCCTGCAGGGATGTGAGCCTGTCTTCCTGGGACTTGAGAGATTGAATTTTGGCCTGAAACATAGTAATCATGGTTTAAATATTGGGAAAGCTCATTATAATAGAAATATTATTCCAATATTTATTACTAAGATAAGTCTGTTCTAAGTTTCAATTAATTGAGTTCCTACAAATTTATCTACTGTACTTTCAGGCAAATTATTGATTGTAGTGACTTAAATAAATAAATTTTCCACACAAACCAAATGACTATGAACATTTTATATTTCTTACTGCGGCAGAGATAAGAAGATATTTATTTCATGGTATCCTATATATTAATAGACAAGCATTTTCTTGGAATCCTATTTTTACAGCTCATGTTCATCACAGGGAAAATCTACGCATACTGTTAGAAATATATTTTCCAGTAGATGCGCAGAATCCCTTTATAAATGAAAATAGACTCAAAAATAAGATAATAATATTAATTTCAAATTTAAAAAATAACATGGGACTTATGGGTTGTCATGCTGGTGACCAAATAACTCAACAACGAAATATAAACAGCAAATCAAAACAAATGGAAGAAATTCCAATCACATGTTTTATTTACAGCGTGGGGTGAAAATAGAAAAGTTTGCATAATTTCTGGTCAAGTTTTTAACCACAGGGCGACCTCTAGTTTTAAATTTAAAACATTGACTTTAAAAAAATTGTTGTCCTACATTGAGCAAAAAAATACAACTAAAAAAATATGTTTTAATGAAAAAAAGTTAAGTGGCAAATTTATACTCTTAATAACGATTTTTCACATTAAAAACTGTAAAAAAGCAAGACGGAAACTAAAAAAGTCAGTTAACTTACCGAACAGACATCAAAGTCATGAGCATCAGTCGCAGACAGCCACTGGTTATACTCTTCTATCAGTATAACTGCACTGGCTATCTCGCTCTCTATCAGACCTCTCTGTTCCACCTCCTCTGTTTTGTGTTGCAGCGTTACATCCATGTTTTCATAACTCTTCGTCAACTCTGACAACCGTTTTTCTTCTTCTTCTGGAGAGCCTCCCTCTATTATAAACATCAAGTGAATAGTTTTAATATAGTTGGGAATTGAAGGAAAAAAGTTAATGTGTATTGGATTTAATGCAAGCAATGAGCTCCCCTACTATTGAGTTACATTTGCATATGGTTGTTAGGTTTTGCAGTTTTTAATAATTATAATTGTATAGTAAATTAATTGTTATGCTTATTTTACTAAGTTATTGTTCGATCTTTTTTTTATTTTTAGTATGTGAAGTGTGAAGAACTTTTATTTTGATTTTAAGCAGCCAAATAAGGACTCTTATCACGCACAGGTCATTGTGACCTATGTGATATTTTTTATTTCCTTTATGTAATGCTGCAAAATAATTTGTTGTAAATAAAGAATTTCTCTCTCTCTCTGCTTCGTATGATTTGAAATTTGCACATAATATGTACACCAGAGGCAGTCAACTATTATTATCTATTATCTATCAAACTACTGTGATAAAAACATAGTAGTTGCGGTTATTACGCTTTCTAAACCAAATATACTGGCAAAAATTTGGAACCAAGTATATTATAAAATTATCTGATATTTTTGTTTCAGAACATTAACAACATTAAAAGCAAACTCAAGGACTTATTCCCATTACAAATTGTTGAACATGAAAATTTTGTTGGTCATATTTTAAAATAGATTACTGCACTATGAATAAATGAACTATCATGCATGGTTTCTTCAGGTCATAATACATATTATGTATGTACGTGGCCAGAATTTTGTACATTAAAAGCTCTATATCCTTACTTGGTGCTCAATCTCTCGAGCTTGTAGGCTAGACACAGCTTGGCAGTCGAGCCGCTCGCAAACCTCTACTGTTTTATTTGTTACCGTAGGTATTGTTGGAATAGATCTTTTTTAGCAATCAGGGACCTAGCTCAGATTGTTTTCACTAGGCATTGTTTCCATCTAAGGCCGACTCAGGCTGTCTCTACTGAATAGCTTAGTTTTTTTTTTTTTTAAGAGTAATACAAATACAAAAATCTGCACAACAAACAAAGGGAACTACCAAAACCCCAGTTACACAGACAGGCCAACATACCAGTAATGATCTCCTGTATACGTGTGTGTGCGAGCCTGGTGATGTTGTCCAGACTGGCTCTCCTCTGCAGCCACTCCTCCCTGGCTCTCCGCAGCACCTCACTGTCACTGTGACTCTGCAGCTGTTGCAGTGTGTTCTGCAGCCAGTCACGCAGCACCTCCATACCTCTGTCCAGCTCTGTCTGACCAGCCTCCACCTTCCTCCTCTTCCAACTACCTTGGCCCTGCAACCATAACAACACTGTCGTTAACCAATCAAACGTAAGAAGTTGGCCTACCAAACATTTTCATCCTTAGTTCTGTGTTAGTTCCATGTTTCATCGTTAGTTCTGTGTTGGTTCTCAATATTTCCGAACATTTTTTTATATATGAAATAGGTGTCCGTTGAAAGGATGGTTCAGAATTTTAGGGCAAAAAACCTCTTTACACTTTAACGTATAGGATGCGGAATGGAATTTATATATTTTAGAAGCAATAGTAGATTAGTTATTATCAAGTTCTATTTTAGTTATGAAATGTCTTACATCTTCAGAAGGTGATGTTTCCTCCCAGGCCAGACTGGTGCTGATAGTCGTTGAACTGTCACCAACCACAGGAGTCACTTCAAACCCAGAGCTCGATATCTATGGAAGTAATAAAATGTTACTTTTAAAATAAGGCAAAACTTTGTCGGATTCAAAAATGTACAATTTTATTTTAAAACTGGCACCAACTTTAACACAGGGATGAAGTGTCTAGATATTACTCACTCTCTGACTCTGCATCTCCAGTATGAGCACCAGAGCGTCCCAGCGGTCCTGCAGAGCCTCTATCTGCTCCAGGTCACGGCCTCCCTCTGGAGGACGCATCCGCAGACTCAGCTCTGTGGCTGCATCTTGTATCCCCGTCAGCCGCTTCTGCTGGGCGTCCATTTGTTGACGCATTACCTGAGTGAATGACATATTGAAAATTCTGTGACATAATGAGAACAGTCTAATAGATAATTTAATAAATAAACACTCTAATACATCTCCAGAGTGTTGAAATTAAATTAATTACAAATATTAGAAAAATAAATAGGATAATAGTACACATTTCCACTTTTGATTTGTCACACGACCAGCTTGAGTTGTACTATACCTGAAGCTGTTTGATCCGGTCGAGTATTGCACCCATCTCTGTCGCCGGCTCCGCCTCCATCTGTTTGAGTGTTGTCTCCTTGGTGAGCAGCCACTGTTGTAGCCAGCTGACCTGGTCCATCAGCTGACTGGCCGAGGTGATCAGCTGTTGTAGCAGACCCCAGCGCTCCTCTGACCACTGACAGATGTGTTCCCACCTCTCCCCCAGCGCTGCCAGCTGGTCTTCCATTGCTGAGTAGGCTGGAGTAGAATGAGAATGTTATATTAGGTACTAGTTGTATATAAACACAAAAAATAGTTGGAATCAGGGTTGCCATCTACGGTTAGAGAAAAATTTGGACAAGCCCCCCCTATCCCCTTAGGACACCGGCAACAGGGTCCTAAATCAGAACCGTCCTGGCCGGACGGGTAGTAACCCTGCTAGAAAAACAAAGAAAAAAATCAGAACTTGTATAGGCTACTCACAACTGTCAGCAGTGGTGTCATCTACAACAATGACCAGGTTGCATAGGGAGTCCACTGTCTTCTGTTGCGCCTGTAGGTCGTCTCGCAGTGCAGCAAGTGCCTTCTGTTGCGCCTGTAGGTCGCTCAGGTCAGGCCCCACTTGTGACATGCGAGATATGCGATCCTCCGTCGCAGTCAGCCACTCTCGCAGACGATCCAGCTGCTTCTGCTGAGCCGACATCAGCAACGAGTGGATGCTGGAACATGTTACATGGGCATTAATGATCATCACTGCTATGGTAAGTAAAACAATAAAATCCTTTGTTAAGTTCAATGTTAGTGATGGTGAGTTTGCTGTTTATTATTGGAAACATTTTCCCTCACTGATTAGTAAAGCAGAAATTTCACCTTGTTTCAGGATCTACAATCTAATGCTGTTTTCAAGGGAGGAGAAACCTATAGCCTAACATACCAAGATTAGTACACAACATTGGAAGTCCTAGGAATGACAATTGTTTAGAACAGTCAATATCAATATACACTGTAGCTTGAGTCATTGAGTGCCTTTCTTTTATCCGGACTCCTCAGGACCGAGGCCAGTTCAGCTATAACGTTTTTTCCGGTTAAACCGAGATCCTATAAAACCCGTTAAATTAGGAACATCGACTAACAATACTTGTGCAAGCCACGGAAATCACTCAAAAATTAACTTAAGTATTTTACTTAAATTTTGAAACAAATTGTATTTAGTCATGTGAATCATGTGATCACTGGTCTCAAAGCTTTCCCTCAATGAGTTATTTCAGTACCGCCTACTTCCAGTTCGACCAATATTGCTGATACAAATTAACCATTTAAAGAGATGTCAGTTCTTCCAAGCGTAGTCTGGTTAAACAGATTTCCGGTTAAAAGGTGTCCGGGTAAGAGGAAGTCCACTTTATGTAGATTATATTTGTTTATTTGTTTTCTTGTTTTCTTACTTATTTTCCACTTGTACTTTTCTAAGCATTTTTGTTTGTGTTTTTCACCAGTTCATGTTACTAATCTTGTCATGTTGTAGGTTTCTTTCTGTTTGAAGAGTCCGATTCAAGATCTTAAAATGTTTACTAATCAAATGTGCTTTCAACAGTGTGTACCTTGCTTGTTTCTCCATTGCCTTGAGTCGTAGAGCCTCCCAGCGAGAGTTGAGCAGTCTCATCTGTACTCTGACCTCCTCCTCCTCGTCTCTAGTCAGCCCTCCCTCGGACAACATACGAGCTCCTTCCTCCAGCACTGCCCCCACACCTTCCTGGTGACCCGACAGCTCCAGCAGGAAACCCTACAACCAACAATAACAAGCATTATACATCTGTCTTGACTAGGATCTGGAGAAGGCGACATAATAGCCAAAACGATCGTCATCCCCCCTTAGAGGAGGTATAAGAGTCACAAGGCAATACTAAGGTAAATTAACCTCTTATTTATATGTTATATGTATGTGACTCGACAACAATGACTAAAGAAAAATCAAATGTCATTATAAATCTTTCACAAAATATCACTAACTTGACTGGAGGAAGTTATGATAAGATACATAAGAAGTAATAAGATTACATTATAGGTTGGCAGAAATGTTGACAACAGGGCACGCCCTCTAAAATAAGAGGCTTAGGTATTAAGTATGTACCTGAAATGTGACGTAGAAATCATACTCAAATAAAAATGTTGCTTGGACTTATTGGCTGACTCTTGAAAACATAAAACTGATAGTTGACATTATTACAACCAGAGGAAAGTTCAAATTAATCATTGTGTCAACCGGGAAATCCAAGAGTCAAATACAGCAACACTGCTAATTACTGTGCACACTGCGTAGGACATTTTTGGGAATTTTGTCAGGGAACTGTGAGCCTTGGTTTGCAGAAACAACAGTTAAAAATAAGATTATACCCCAACCAACATGGAATTGCCACGCTTAGCGCTACACATAAGCTACAAAAACTAAAATGTTTTCAGGTTTTCTGCACCATTGGCATTTTTTATAATTTTTTTAAAAAAACTGCCCAAGCGCTGGCCTTTTTACTATCCAACCACCTTTTGTTATTTTATTAGCACCATTAATATTAGCCCAGTGACAAAATGACATCTGGGTATGGAAAAAGTTAGTACAGTGGTTTTAATTGAAAATGACATTTGAAAATACATAACTTATGGCCTTGATAGGTTTAACAACCAGGAAACATTTTTGAATTTAGTAGTTTTATACAATTTTACATTTTTTCTGTTAAAGTATGTTTTATCCAACCTTTCCATGATCAATTTTGGTTTGCTTATCAAGACTCTACTGTATGAATATTAGTTTAATGAATCTTGAAATATAAATGGTAAGTAATGATTACAAGTCAACCAAACACACACACACCTCATGTGAATGGAAGTGTTCCTTGATAGTTTCAAGGTCAGTACTTCCTAGAGCCAGGTCGTGGCTTAGTCTGTCCTCCGCCTCCAGCAGCCAAGTCAGCACCTCCTCCATGGCTACTTGGTAACCCCCCAGCTCTACGGAGGCATTGGTAGCCAGACTGTGGGGCCTGGAACTACGGGGCTCCAGCTCCCCCATAGCACCCTGCAAAAAACAACACACTACATGTTTAACGATATGACCTCAAAAATCAAACCAAACACAAGAGTAACCAAACTTCCACTTGCAATTTACGTGAGGAAAGTTATAAAAGAACTGCTGAAAGTTATATCTAACATTTTCTGAAACAAGGGAGTCAGTGTAGCCAGTGCAGTAGATAGTAAGATCTGGTTAATGGTTGGTCGAAGGTTCACGTCAGAGCTGCGATAAATGATCATAACAACAATGAGAGCAGAGATGCTAGTAGGGAGTAGCGCTCTCCTTCCATTTGCTGTTCATATCTGGGCCAGGAACTTACACTGAAAGGTTGATTCATGATTGTGTTTTGTTAAAACTGAGTTTGTGTTGAGAGATTCTGAAGAAGATTTCATTTTAGCACCAAATGCAGTAAAGTATTATTTACTAGGAGAACCTGAGAGGTGACAGATAGTGAAGTGAGTTCGGGGGTGAGTTGCCGTGTCAGTGTGTGGAGGTAACGGATGACTCAATATGAGAAGAGATGATTCAGAGGTCCTGCGGGCTACAAATATCTGAGAGCTGGGATTGCTGACATCTTGGGGACTGGTCAAGAGGAGAGACAGAAAGAGAGGTGAGAGGAGTGAGACAAACTTGTAGAAACAAGTGTACGCGTAGGGTAGGGATTTCAATGTTTGCGAGATAGGAAAGACTCCTAGGAGGATGAGACTTCTAGGGCAAGGTGAAGTAAACAAAATAGTTTAAGTCAATGTTTTCATTCTGAGCTACACCCCCTACCATTGTGAAACCTCAAAAGCAAGGGTGGACGTGACAATATCCGTAGTCCTACGTTTTAGTTCATGTTTATCTCTATCCCAGCTTGGTAAATCTTGGAAAACTTGTCAATCAAGACAACTATCAGATATTTTTACCTCGAATGTGGTTGCTGGAGAGGCCAGTGAGCTGCTGGAGTCAGACTGGAGAAACTCCAGACTGGAGACTTCCAGCGTGGAATGAGGCAGAGACTGGAACAGACACATGACGTACATCATGACGGACTTCTTGTCTGGGACGGACGTGTTCACATCTGTAACATACACAAATCAATGTAAAGGTCATTCACAATCAATCCTTATGGTCTTTGTTTGACTACCAAACCATCTACGATTATGTAATTGCTTTCCAGCACACTCAAGATAGTAGATCGCAAATTCTTATTTAGCTCTCCCCACAGTAACCAATCCTATTATTTGACATATGGAAAGCTTTTAAATAATCTACGTTTCCACAATATTAAAATATGTTTCTGTAACAAATTTCTAATATCTACCACATGTTAAATCATCGATATTGAAGAAACTGTATTAGAGTCATTCCACTTCAAATCACCCAAAAAATTTAGGTTATGAAACCCACCATCTCAGAATTTGATGAAACTTTGTGAAAATGTTCATCCCTATGCCCTAAGTAAAAATAACAAAAATTACAAAGATACTGCTGATACTTTTTTTTATATGAATTTTTTTCCGATACACCGTTTTGACCATTTCAGGCTTTGGAATCGACAACCAAATCTAGCCTGGGTGACCAAAAAATTTAATTATTCGCAAACCGTTTAAGATAACACTTTCAAATTTTTATAACAAGTTTCCTATGTCTTGATAAATAACTGTGTATAGGTCACTCTAGAGTATAATAAAAATTTATTAAAATTATTATATATTTAAATTTATTTTTTTCAAATTTGACCGACATGGATTGTGAAAAACGGCTATAACTTTTTTCTCCAACCAGCTAGAACAATTATTGTTTTTGCAGAATTTTCCTTAAGCTATGACCTGTTTGAAAATATAAAGATATTAGTGGTTTTCTATGTACAGATATTGTAAAAAAATAGTTTTATTAAAATATTAATTAACGCTAAAAATTTAGTAACATATATCTTGTATCTTAAAGAAAAAATACTTACAAGAGTTTTTTAGTCATGAAAGCTTAATTTACCTAAGTCCTGTAGTTCATTGACAATATTAAATTACATTTTTGAAGATTATTTGATATTTCCTTAAACAAATTTAAAGCTAAAAGCTAAAAGCTTTTGAGCGATATACTACCTTGAAATGGTTGTAACAAAATAGTTGAATGTTACTTTATTATTGGCTAATTTACAGCTTGAGTAAATTTTATGACATGAGAGATAACACACATGACATAGTTATTTTAAAGTTTTTTTCCCGTTTTTATATTGCCCGGCACATCCATCCGTAAAATAGTGCACCTTTGTGACTGATGGAAAACTGTCTTTCAGCCATTTCATAATTTTTCTTTGGACGGCACTAACAAAAGAGACATTACGATACAAGTTATCACTAATAAAACAGTGATTTTAAACCTTTAGTTACAAACTTCGAAACTCAAACTTCAAAATTTGGTTATAACTTCAAAGTTCTGCCAAATCAAAATAACTATGCATGTATGTAATCTCTCATGTCATAAAATTTACTCAAATTGTAGTCCTTCCTGACTAGTATGCCATTGGTTCAGGTTTGATTCAGCCAGCTCCAAATCCTTGGTTGTAAAGTAATAGGTAACATAGACTAAGGAGAATAAAAGTTTAATAAGTATGGTAAATAAGTTAAGTATGGTAATGGTAATAATAAGTTCTAACCTGTAAAACTTGTTTGTGGAGCACCAACTGAACATACAATATTACAAAAAGGGATAAAACAGGAATCTTCTCTTTGTGGCCGGTAAAATTATTTACTAGGACCATATGGATGCATGAATACTAGTTCAGCGTCTTCATCTTCATCTGAAGTATTCCTCACAAGAGCAAGGTACCAATGGCAATATCCCAAGCTAAATCTATAAAACATCTCAAAGAAAACCTTTCTCCTAATGATGCAGTAATACTGATAGACTTTTTTATGATTCAAAATAAAATTCAGAGCTATCGACTGGTCAAGAGGCGGTTGTACACTTCATCCTGTATGTGTTTATTTGGTGAGTGAGGGGGAGCAAAAGTTTCAAATCACTGTTTTATTAGTGATGACTTGGATCGTGATGTCTCTTTTATTAATGTCGTCCAAAGAAAACTGATGAAATGGCTGAAAGACAGTTTTCCATCAGTCACAAAGGTGCACATTGTACTGATAGATGTGCCGGGCAATATAAAAACAGGAAAAACTTTAAAAATATATTTGAGCATGAAAATGATTTTGGGATTTATGCTAAGCACTCCTTTTATGCCACAAGCAGTGGTAAGTCAACCTGAGATGGTCTTGGTGGTACCATAAAACGCACACATCGAAAAGCAAGCCTTCATTGAGCTGTAAAGGCAAATCAGCTTTACAACCATGGATTTAGAGCTGGCCGAATCAAACCTGAACAATGGCTACTAGTCAGGAAGGACTTCAAAATTCTCCCAAATCAAAATAACTATGTCACGTGTGTAATCTCTTATGTCATAAAATTTACATAAGTTGTAAATTAGCCAATAACAAAGTAACATCGAACTATTTTGTTACAACCATTTCAAGGTAGTATATCGCTCAAAAGCTTTTAGCTTTAAATTTGTTTAAGGAAATATCTAATAATCTTCAAAAATGTAATTTAATATTGTCAAAGAACTACAGGACTTAGGTAAATTAATTAAGCTTTCATAACTGCAAACAAGTATTTTTTTTTTTTAAGATACAGATATATGTTACTCAATTTTTAGCGTTAATTAATATTTTAATAAAACTATTTTTTTACAATATATGTACATAAAAAACCACTAACATCTTTATATTTTCAAACAGGTCATAGCTTAAGGAAAATTCTGCAAAAACAATAATTGTTCTAGCTGGTTGGAGAAAAAAGTTATAGCCGTTTTTCACAATCCATGTCGGTCAAATTTGAAAAAAATAAATTTAAATATATAATAATTATAAAAAAATTTGTATTATACTCTAGAGTGACCTATATATAGTTTTTTGTATGTTCAAGACATAGGAAACTTGCCTTAAAAATTTGAAAGTGTTATCTTAAATGGTTTGCGAATAATTAAATGTTTTGGTCGCCCAGGCTAGATTTGGTTGTCGATTCCGAGGCCTGAAATGGTCAAAACGGTGTATCGGAAAAAAATTCATATAAAAAAAAGTATCAGCAGTATCTTCAAAATATTTGGTATTTTTACTTAGGGCATAGGAATGAACATTTTCACAAAGTTTCATCAAATTCTGAGATGGTGGGTTTCATGACCCGGGTGATTTGACGTGGAATGACTCATTAATTTACTTACTCTATGCTACTGTACACTGCAAAAACAAATTTAGGGGTAGAAAATATGAAAATGGAACTATCTTTCTTTTAATCCTTTTGCCTTGTACACATGATTTCAGCATATTAGGTCCAACAACAGGTCCCAACTAAACATTCCTTACAATCACTTACATTATGAGTATATAACAATAACGTTTTCAATGTTTTCATATATTTTACCTACGACCGATTTTAAAACTAGCCTTTTCAGTTCAGTTCATAGAATTGAAAAGATTCACTTAACAGGATTGTTTACTTACTTAACAGCATTGTTGTTTTACTTTACAAAAACGAGTAATGTACCAATGATGTTCAAAGATTGAGAAAATAAGTAAAATTTTAATACTTCGAACGTCAACTTATCAACTGTTAAAACCAATTTAACTGATTAAACAATGAGTGAGTGGATGGGACAACAAGTCATTGCACCACAATCAGTGACTATGAGAGATAATAAACGAAAAAATACCCTCTCTTGGAAGTTATTAGTAGTGATTTTTTGTAATTAAGAAACGGTCGTAGGTAAAGTAGTGTACGCAACTCGTATAATTAGTCTTACACAATCGTTGCGTAAGCTAATATTAAGAATAAATTAACTGGGACATAAAATGCAAACCTTCAGGATCAAGTAGTCTCTCGATTGCAAATTGCTCTTGAGCGACGCGGAATGCGTGATCCAACCTGGCATTTGGATGTCTGCGAGTGACATTTCCAAAATCAAATAGATCCGGTCTGAAATGATGAAGTAGTGCGTTGAATGCCAACCCGTCCGACCACGACGTGGTGAAGTTCCTGACATCCACGCCAGAGTAGTTCTGAAACAACACAATGGTTTTATTACACTCATAAACATACTCTGTGTACAAATACACGATAATAACTAGACCAAGAAAAGAAGGAATGAGTCAGACAACTTTATCGCTTACTTAATGGTCTACCTGTTCAAACTTCATAATCTGCCGTGATTTCATTTAAAATCTAAACATCTAAAATAGGTCATATAAATACAAAAATGTGACACTTTAATTATAAAAAAATGCAAAATAATAAATAAACACATTTAGTTATATTGGTCACATGACCAGTTAAAACAGGTTGCACAGATTTGAATGTTTTTTAAAGCAGTAAATAAAATAAGGCAGATTATGCCACTGTTTTTCTAGAGAGAAGTTATGAAAATACTTCTCTAGAGAAAGGTCTTAGGAATATTATTTCTCTAGAGAAAGGTCCTAATAATATTATTTCTCCTATGAATATTTTCTAGAGGCAGGTCTCAAAAACATTTCTCTAAAGAGAGGACTTAAACACATTTCTCTAGAGAGAGTATCTCAGAATATTTCTCTAGAGAGAAGTCCTAAGAGTATTTCTCTAGAGGCAGATCCTAAGAATATTTTTCTAGAGAGAGATCCTCTATTTCTAAAGGTTCTATGATTATTTCTCTAGAGAGATGTCCTAAGAGTATTTCTCTAGAGACAGGTCCTAAAATATTTTCTAGAGAGAGATCCTATACTTCTCCAGAGAGAGGTTCTATAATTAATTCTCTAGAGGGAGGCCCTAAGAATATTTCCCCAGAGAGAGAGATCCTATACTTCTCCAGAAAGAGGTTCTATGATTATTTCTCTAGAGAGAGGCCCTAAGAATATTTCCCCAGAGAGAGAGATCCTATACTTCTCCAGAGAGAGGTTCTATGATTATTTCTCTAGAGAGAGGCCCTAAGAATATTTCCCCAGAGAGAGAGATCCTATACTTCTCCAGAAAGAGGTTCTATGATTATTTCTCTAGAGAGAGGCCCTAAGAATATTTCCCCAGAGAGAGATCCTATACTTCTCCAGAGAGAGGTTCTATACTTCTCCAGAGAGAGGTTCTATGATTATTTCTCTAGAGATAGGCCCTAAGAATATTTCCCCAGAGAGAGATCCTATACTTCTCCAGAGAGAGGTTCTATGATTATTTCTCTGGAGAGAGGCCCTAAGAATATTTCCCCAGAGAGAGATCCTATACTTCTCCAGAGAGAGGTTCTATACTTCTCCAGAGAGAGGTTCTATGATTATTTCTCTACAGAGAGGCCCTAAGAATATTTCCCCAGAGAGAGATCCTATACTTCTCCAGAGAGAGGTTCTATGATTATTTCTCTAGAGAGAGGCCCTGAGAACATTTCTCTAGAGAGAGGTCCCACTGTGGTAGCTTTATATGTTTACCTGAGTATTTTGTCTGCACCACGCCAGCAATGTCTTCTCCAGGTTGGTTTGTTGCAGCTCTGACATGAGGTCCTTCAGGTGGTAATGTACCTAAGCACAAACATTTTCATTTTAATGACAAATACCTTTCCGCTCACCATTTCACTTACTCTATTTTGGACAGATATTTATGTATGACTGCTATTTAGTTAGATTCTATAATTTTCTGTGGTGTTTTAATGCATTGTGGAATCAAATAGCTAAGTAACTACAAGTTTCTAATTAATTTGAAGGGGTAAACTGACATTTTAATTTAACATTAACTACTCAAATTAATTCAGCTCTGGGATACACAATTTTAACTGAAATAAGAGCGTCAAACCATCTAAACGTTGCTAGTTAAAATTTACCTAAACAAAAACAGCATTTTAACAATTTTCATAAGTTTTATAAACAATAAATAATTGGATTTGCCTGAATAGGAAATAAAAGTATTTAAGAAATAATAATAGTAGGCTACTTCTTTTTTTCGTCATTTATGATTAACCCATTTATTATTTATTTAATTTTGACACAGCTATTTTGGTAAATTTTACACCAATTAATTAACAAATAAATTGTATTACTGATTTCCAAACTAATGAATATTTAATTTTACATTTCTACCTAATTCCTTACCTGCCAATGGAGAATGATACTCCATACCAGGCCTAGAATCAGTTTTGGGTTGCCATCTACAATGTCGTTACTGCTAATATTTACAAGTTTTACCTGGAAATAACATGATAGTTTATGTTTTTCTTTAAACACTGATACAACTAGTTTTACAAGAACCAATATGATCTATTATTGGAAATCAATGATTAAAAATTGCAGTTGATAGTTCTTAATGGTTTGTAGTTCACCTTCATTTCTCTAAGCACTTGATTTGCATTTAAGTATTTAAAGTCAAACTGCAATACCAATCCAGCATAATGAAATGGGAATAATTGTTGAGTTATTTGTGCAACTGGTTATTAAATAATGCAATGCTCATTCATCCAATTTTCTGATAATTTAAACAATTTAGAGAAAGTACACTAGTCCAAAACATACTGATGTGGAGTGATTACTGGACCAAATTGTTGCCTAATAAATGTGATTTTAATTTAAAACAATAGAGCAGTTAATTATACGACAAAAATATATATATAATTTTTCAAGTTTATTAATAAACAATTTTTATCAACCAAGGTCTAGGTGTAAGTTCAACTACAGTATTAGGATACAGTACCAGTAAAACTAGTATATTATAGCCTAACAAGAAGTAGTTCTTTAGTAAGTTCTTTAACATAAGAATGCTGAAATTTAACTTACATTATTATGTTCTAAGACCTGAAGTGCTCGATTTACGTTGTTCAAGTGATGTACTCGCATCCGACCCTTTTCTCTTTTCTGTAAAAGTAACAATCATCAGCAAGAGCAAGTATACTTATTTAGATGGTAAAGTACTAACAAAAATAGAAAAATGAAACCACTAGAGACATGTAAGAAAACAAATTAGTAAGGTAGCCTATATGTTATAAACAAAACAAAAAAATAAGATTTTAAAGTTGTTATTAAACACCTACTTAGTGAGTGAATTCCGAATCCATGCAATTTAAATATCATCAATTTAATTAATTTTTGATTTAAAATATATATATTTGTTTTCCAGAAATAAAGTCGATTTTCAGATTAACAATAAATGTTCACCATAGGCAAACCTAATTCCATACAAAAATACTGTTTTATGTTTTCTTAACATATCATCCAATACCAAGCAGTTGATAAGAACTTATAAAATTACAAAAAAAATCAGCATAACAAGTGACCATGGTGGAAGGAAGACAAGTGACAACAATAAGCATTGGTCATATATTTTCAAAGATGTTTTCCTTTTTAAGACAAACAGACACTGGAAACAACGTGGCTTTATGTTACAGTACTTTGCCCTGAAAATTAGATGAGTAAACAAATCTAAGGAAGTGTCATGTTTACACAAACACCACACCACAACATGAGAAAAGGTTTTGAAGAAGTTTGTTCCTCTCTTTCCACAAAAATATTATTTGAGCTACAGAAAGATGAAGACATCCTAATTGAAAAACAAACAAAAAAATTTAATTAGAATCAAAACAACATTATTTTCTGAGCTTATAGGTAAGTGAGACATATTACCTAGCTCCTTGCGTTATTCATATAATGGCCTCAAATTTGCATACAGTGTATTCTAGAACTAGTTTTAGATAAATATTTGTTGAACTAAAAGTTTAATGTTTCAGACTCCAGAATATTGTGTTATAACTAAATCTAAATTTGTAAAAAATTAATTGTAAGTTATAACAATTATGTAAACAAAAATTACGTAACCTTGAAGCAGGAAAAATGAACATTTAACCTATGAAAACAAAGCAAAGCAAGAAATTTGTTGACAATGCAGCCATATTTTAAGAAATCAAGAGATTCCAGCTGGCCTAGGCCCAAGATTTATTCATCTTTTGGCAGAAACTGTAAACATAATGTCTTTGTTTAAGTGTGTCCACAGTGGAAACGAACAAGGTCAACATACAAAATGTGTAAAAATAATACCAGAGATCAAAAGTTGAAGACATTGTACGATGAACAATGTCGATGAAACGTGAGAATAAAATCTAGATACACATGAATTTTGTTGTGCATAAGACATTGAATAGTGTAAATAACTCAATACATAAATTTAATATTTGTCATAGGGGTACAGTTTTTTTTAAATATATGTATTAATCAATTACAATCTAAAATACAGCGTTAATAAAAAGTCTGGAGACCCCCTGTAAATTTTGTAATGGCTCACACTAGAAAAACTAAACGCTGCACAACTTTATGGCATGTTTAAAGTACTTTTTGAGCCTAATTGCTACTCGGTTCGCAAACCCAATATAGGGGAGTTCGGTGGAATCTCAAAAATTTGAAATGTTAAGCCCCATCGAGTGACCTCTCATTTTGGAGGTTGTGATAAAAGAAAACTAACAACGCGAACTAGATGTCTCTATACCCATTAGTTGCACCTCTACCCAGTAAAATAAAATATGGCAGTCAATTAAAATTTTACGTAAGGAAAATTGTAAGTTAATTCTGATTTCTAAAGATTTCAATTGACTGCCATATTTTACTGGGTTAAGATAGAGAGACCTCTAAGTTGCGTTGTTAGTTTTATTTTATCACAACCTTCAAAATGAGGGGTCACTCAATGGGGCTTAACATTTCAAATTTTTGAGATTCCCCCAAAATCCCCCATTTTGGGGATGTATACGAAGTGGCGGTTATGCCCAAAATGTACTTCATAACATGTCAAAAAAGTGTGCAGAGTTTAGTCTTCCTAGTATGGGCCGTTAAAAAATTTACAGGGAGTCTCCAGACTTTTTATTAACCCTATATATTATTTCAATAGGAGACATATTTCGCTTAAAGGTACTTACGTATTGCTTCCCTGTAAGGATTTCCAGGAGTGCCAACAGTCTGGTCCCATCTTGCAGGTCCACAAACAGGTCGTTAATTAAGGAACAGTTGCTCTGAAACAGACCGATTGTCGTCACTTTTAGACCACATTGTGTTTCATCTTTTAATTTAATATTTTTAATAAAGGTCCTGTAATTGTTTGTTGCGTCTAATGGAAAAAATATCAGCATTATAAACGACATTTTACGTTATTCATGGCTTTGGAAAAACCAATATCCAAATATATGAGTTTATTAGTTAGTCGTAAATGTTATTATTTATTCAAGTGTTTTTGTGTAAATTAGACATAAAGTATAGGTAGTTGAAGTGTGAGGTTTGACTATAGATATTGTGAAATAAAATTTAATTCCCACTTAAAATTTGCTACAGGAGCCATTTTAGAACAAAAAGACCCTCATTAAATTGTGTCATAGACAGGGGTAGAATAGAGTTGAGTTTCTTAAAAAACAATTACCTATTTACACTTTTATTAACTGTAATGCACATTTTGGCGATTTTCTTCTTTCCTAAGCAAACGATTTCACAGCGTTCATCTTCAGTTTTTAAACACATAGGCCTACAGTTTATAGGCTACAAATTTAGTTATTTATATTGAGTAATTTTAGCACTTAACAGTAACTTAACAACAAAATGAATAATCCTAAGCATCCACATTGACTGGATATACGGTTATACAGAGTGTAATTTTTTTTTATTTAACTGACAAAATGTGATAAAACCCACCTTGACTAGTTGAGAATTTATCCACTTTGCGAAAGTTTTCTTTTGGACATCCTCCCGTTCATCTGAAACAAAAAAAAAGGTTTAGAAACAAATACAAATACAATTTAAAAATAAATCAAAACGATGGACAGTACAACAAAAAGAATTGAAATATAGGAATGAGTTATTTTACCATGATTATTTGCCTTATCCTCAGTTTTTCTACGGTATAGTCTCATCCAATAGTATTATCACATTTTTAAATTCCTTTGTACCCCAAGTACCTAACTCTGTGATTCTTGAGTCTCTTAATTATATACACAACATTTGTCTGCAACATCAATTTCTGTGTTTTTACAATATACTAGTGGTCGTCCTGTGGTCGAAACTCGACCAAAAATAATTAATGTACAGACTTCTCTATTTTCTCCCCACACTGTAAATAAAACATGTGATTGGAGTTTCCTCCATTTGTTTTGATTTTCTGTTTATATTTCGTTGTTATTTCGTAACCAGCATAGCAACGCATAAGATCCATGTTAATTTTTTACAACTTTTAAACTTATTTTTTGTGCTTATCTTTGAGCCTATTTAAATTTATAAAGGGATTCTGCACACCTACAGTAAAATAGCTTTCCAACGGTATGCGTAGATTTTCCCTACGATGCACACGAGCTGAGAAAAAAGGTTTTAAAGAAACATGCTTGCCTATTAATATATAGATAGATAATACTGAGCTAATAAGTAAACGATTGAAACATAATTATTCAAAGGCCTGATGAACACTATCCCACATTATAAGAAAAACTTTACGTCACTTGTCTTGGTGAAATATAGGAGTCTATGATAGAATCAAAAGGTTAACTCCAAGAAAGTAAACAAAAAACTAAAATAAAACAAATCTAACAGCTGATGTATCTTCAATATTTTAATGTGATTAAATTCCTGCCCTTAGGAGAAGGTTAATAAAAAAAACTGATATTTTCGGGGAAGTTTCACATGAAGACCTTCCATTCAAGTATGTGGTTGATAAGTGTACAGCTTATGGTATTCTCAAAAGTTCAGATCCTTCTTAGCTTTGTATAATAACTAAACACTATGGTGGAGGGATGCAGTTCCTCCGTAGTGACGCTAGCAGACGAAGCTATGTCTTGTGTCTGTGTGGGTGTGTAGAGTGTACACAGACATAGCTGTAGTGTGAGTGTAGGCGTTAACGGAAGTGCTCTTTCAAACTGTTCAGGACAAGCTACGAGCATTGTTTGACTACAACTTGACAAGCTTCCGCCTTGCAAGATACGTCAATGCTCAGTCCTGCGAACTGTGAGCATTCGAGCATCCTCAGCGAGAATCACGAACCACGAACTATTATGGTACTTTGGTAATAGATTAGTGAGAATATCATATTATTTTTGTAACGTCCTCTGGACTGTTGGAACGGGCGAGCAAGATAGCGCTAACCGTGTCTCACTTGGTCTTCCTAAATCGGCTGCGTACGGGAGGAGAAAGTAATATAGGTGACAAATATATTAGTATTATTTAGTGCTAGGCTATAATTTAACCGATTACCAGGAAGCTAAGGAGCTTTAATGACTATTATTGCGAAGTAACGGTATTTACCATTGTAATTAGTACAACTCTCTTGTAGTCGGTGTATTTTTGCCACATTTTAATGGCACGGGTCTTCAAAACTAGCCTACAATTAATTGTGATAGCCTTTACTAATTTACACATTGTAATGTGTTGAAGTGTAGCTCAAGACCTCCAATCCTACAATAAATAAGAGGAGCGACGACAGACTGCGAGTGACAGCAGATCGATCAACGATTGACCTGGTCTGATAGAGATCGGCAAACTACCTGAGGAAACCTTCACTCTTTAATATACTACAATGTAGACGTTGTAATGTGTTGTAGTGTAGCTCAAGACCTCCAATCCTACAATAAGTAAGAGGAGCGACGACAGACTGCGAGTGACAGCAGATCGATCAACGATTGACCTGGTCTGATAGAGATCGGCAAACTACCTGAGGAAACCTTCACTCTTTAATATACTACAATGTAGACGTTGTAATGTGTTGTAGTGTAGCTCAAGACCTCCAATACTACAATAAGTAAGAGGAGCGACGACAGACTGCGAGTGACAACAGATCGATCAACTATTGACCTGGTCTGATAGAGATCGGCAAACTACCTGAGGAAACCCTCACTCTTTAATATACTACAATGTAGACGTTGTAATGTGTTGTAGTGTAGCTCAAGACCTACAATACTACAATAAGTAAGAGGAGCGACGACAGACTGCGAGTGACAACAGATCGATCAACTATTGACCTGGTCTGATAGAGATCGGCAAACTACCTGAGGAAACCCTCACTCTTTAATATACTACAATGTAGACGTTGTAATGTGTTGTAGTGTAGCTCAAGACCTACAATACTACAATAAGTAAGAGGAGCGACGACAGACTGCGAGTGACAACAGATCGATCAACTATTGACCTGGTCTGATAGAGATCGGCAAACTACCTGAGGAAACCCTCACTCTTTAATATACTACAATGTAGACGTTGTAATGTGTTGTAGTGTAGCTCAAGACCTACAATACTACAATAAGTAAGAGGAGCGACGACAGACTGCGAGTGACAACAGATCGATCAACTATTGACCTGGTCTGATAGAGATCGGCAAACTACCTGAGGAAACGCTCACTCTTTAATATACTACAATGTAGACGTTGTAATGTGTTATAGTGTAGCTCAAGACCTCCAATCCTACAATAAGTAAGAGGAGCGACGACAGACTGCGAGTGACAACAGATCGATCAACGATTGACCTGGTCTGATAGAGATCGGCAAACTACCTGAGGAAACCCTCACTCTTTAATTCATACAACACACACACATTGGAGTGCAAAATTATTAATATCAATGTTCAATAGCAAACATATTCCAAAAAAACAGTCAATGCTCCCAAGCACCTTTTAGAGACATATTCACGTACAAATTTAAAAACTATTTTGTAGAAAAATTGTACATAATTTTGGTAAAATGTTTTAGTTTATTAACTCCCCCAGTGCTCTAAATACCAAACCCACACGCAAATCATTCATAACGTGCCAGCAGTTGGTTAAGCAATTACTGTAATTGGTCAGATGTGATGGCTGTATTCACATCAAGGTGAGAAGTAATTCATGCGAGACTAGGCTACACTTGATTTCTTGTACCTTGGGGGCTGGCATTACCTTAGCATGAGGTGCGTCAGGGACGTAGAATAAATGCTATGCAAACCAGGGGATTGTCATCCAATGAAGCGATCAAACTGATATTTCCTCATCTTCTCCATGTATTGTATTTGTATACGTGTATTCTGTATTGTATCCCCAAACCATAATGAAGCAGTTAATTGTAACAGTTATATTTTCAATCCTTCACATCGAGTTAACGTTTCTTACAAATCTTTCATGCGTGTTACCTAATCATTCTTTAAAACATCCCCAATTGCTAAAATTTCAAATTACAGACAGAATGTTCCAAAATGTTTCTCCCTAGCCGTAACAACCAGTCGCCTAATGCTATCAAAGTAGTTGGATAAGACAAGACACGGCCTTCAAGTGAGTAGTCAGGCAAATTGCCTCCAGGCATGCGAGACTCCCATTGCATCTGCCTTATCACGGACTACACTGGCACACTATGCACGTGCTATTCAGTACTGCATATACTGCATGTACACGTGCTATCTGCTTGTGTTAGTACAATGTGTAGCAAACAACTGCTCAATGAGAAAAATTGTCTCGTGATCGCACATAGCAACCCAATATAAAGATTTGTAACGTGCCGTTTTTCCCGCTCGGAATATATGCGCTATTCCGTAGTTAAAGCGGGAAAGACGTCACCAACTCTCGCCAGCGGATCGCTCAAGTCGGCGTGCTGGGAAGTTTCCAGGGTTCAGATAAAAATAATTTATTTAATCAACTCAACAACCTAGCACAGGTACAGATTTGTATTTACGCAAAAATGTAGTGTGAATCAGGTGTGAACTCAGTACCGGTAACCAACAACGCTACTGTACCATCATCATCGTTCACACCTGGGAACAGCTAATTAAATTAAATTTTAAAATAAAGAAAAACCATTCAACGAAATTTTGAAACAATTTAATGTTGCAGTTTCGTCAACCTCAACACTTAGAATATTTCTTCTGAATATACTTAGCGTGCTCCACCCGACCTCGTGTTTGCACGACCTGCAGAGACGGGTTCAACTTTGCCCACTTTGCCGCAGCAGTTAAACACCTACTGAATATCCCGGCAAAATACCCGCTATAACCCCGTCACCCTCAATATATATTGTAAACACAATATTAAACGAAATTTGTATCCCTAAAACTCTTTATTGCCACCCACGGGAGCCCTAGCATACGCTAAAGCGGACTTATACAAGTTCTAACACCCGACAAAGATCCTACCGTGAGTTTTACGTCTAAAAGAATAAAATGAGGGTTTACCGCTAAATAATAAAAAATAATAGTACACACTATTAAGATAAAGCCGAAGAATTACCTGTATACTCCAGGGATCTTCACTGATACACTAAGTAACGCGTTTAGCAAAATCACTAAAGTAATCACTCTAACGTCCTAACTCTCGCAATCGCAGGATTAGAATGGTCGTCGCATCCCTAGCCCACAAGGGATCTCCTCTTTCCCCCCTCCCTAATCCTCTAGGGATGGAGAATCAGCTGATTCGACTCCCAGCTGATCGGTGACGTCACGAGTTCAAACTTGGCGCTGTTGCAACACAACGCCAAGACAGCCGACTAGTGGTACAGGTTATGTTGTTATTTACCTACGCCGACTGTGAAATTATACGCGGAACTTTAATATCATTGCTGGTTTAAACAAAAGTATAATTTCCACCCGTGACGTGTAGCTTAGTGTGCGACAAAGTGTATGCATGTTATGTACGTGATATTGTATTCGTGATCGCGGTTCACCACCCTAGCCTAAACAACAACTTTGACCGTACTTCCCAAAGGTGTATATTAGGTATGGGGGTTACCCGGAAACGGTTTATCACTCGTTTTGTAC